ATTGAAACATTTTTAATTTTCTTTTCAATTAATTAATTTCAATTAATTAAAAAAATAATTAAAATTGGAAAAATAATATCTCTATTTTATTAATTAATATATTATTAAGAAAACACCTTGTTGTTTCCATAAAAACCATCTTGTATATTTAATGAAAAAATTATCATGTTCCTTAATTAATGATGCTTACGTTCAGGAAATTAAGATGTGTCAAGTCTGTAATGTAATAAAATTTGAGGAAATTTTTCTTTATTTCCAATCGGTAAAACAATAATATTATAACTCATATAAGTACATGTAACAAATAATATATTATTATATAAAAAAATTTGTACAAAGTAATATACATTGTCACAATGAATTTTTAATTTTGTTCCCTTTTGTAATCTCAATCGGATATCTAGTTATCTTTGTACAATGTAGTTTAAATGAGATAATCTGTCGTGAATTTCTTTTTTTTAGCTAAAAGATTTAAAAGATGAAGAGTAAATCATGAACGTAAATCATTTTCTTATTAAAAAATTCTAAGTAAAACTTAATTTTAATTACGTATTTATTAAACAATATAATGATTAATGAAACAATTAAACAATTTCATATGATAACAATAACAATACAATAATTAAATAATATAAAAACAGTTGTATGATAATAATAATAATAAATTTAATATTATAGTAATATAATTTTCTAGAATTTGATTTTAGCATTACATTAATATCATTTTTCGAATGTAGATATTTAACATACATAATACAAAATAAATCTCATTTAATTATGTATTTATGATAAGTGAATTTTTGTATCAATATTTGATTCTTAATGTGAAAGCTTTATTACTGTACTTACTAAATGGAAATTTTATAAACTTAATGAATGTGGGGCTATGTTTTATAAGGATATTATCAACAGATACTTTTTATGTAAATGTTACTTTTTTAAATTGGAAGTCATTCATAATATATTACTATATTGTATTATATTATAGATATGTTTATTCTTCATATAAGAGAGAGAGAGAGAGAGAGAGAGAGAGAAAGAGAAAGAGAGATACAAATATAATTATTTAATTTAATTTTATTATATTATATTATATTATATTATAATTTTATTATTTAATATTACTAATTATTTAAAGAGTACTTAATTATTCTAAATTTTATAATTAATCTGTTTAAACTTACTTAAATACAATAAAATTATCTTTAAAATTAAATTATATAAAACTTGAGAAGTAAACAGAAATGGAAGTCACTTAGGCATCCAATATACTAATTATATTAATCATTATTTAACATACATATTTTATGCATTTCTGGTTAATAAATAAAAACACCTTCAGTGTTGATAGAAACAAATTTATCCTTTAATACAATTCTACTTTTACTATATTTTATATTTATTTTAATTACTTTTATATAATTATCCAAATATCTTATTTAGTTCGGTAAATTAATGTTATCATTTAGATACATTTGAGAACGTATACTTGAAACTATATATCTTTAAATGAAATCACATCAGTGTAACAGATTATAAACTAATAATGGCATTATAAAAATACATCAAAGTATCGCTAAAATAATTTAATTATAAAAATATCTTTTTTCCCGGATTAGAAATTTTGTTTATGATAAGACATTTTTAATATAGACTTCTAAAATTTCTAAAATGCTTAAATTATTTCCAATTATATTATTTAATAAACAGAATATTTAAATACCAATCAAATAAATTGTTCGCTTTATTCAGTTAAACATTATCAACTAGAAAATTTAGTCCATTACTGATGCAATTTAATATAAATTATATTCTGCAGTGCTAGATATCGTTTCTCTATGTAAAGTAATTTAATATAATTAAAAATTTATTCATAGAATGTCTGTAATTTAATCATATACTTATTATAAACTTTAGCTATTTTAAAGTATTTGATGCTCATAAAAAAAAAAAACAAGAGAAGAGAACAAATTGGAGTTAGTGCAACTTATTAAAAGTACATCTTAGGTAAGGTATATCTAATTTTATTAAAACAGAGATCAAAATTCGAGTGTTTTGTTATTGCATGACTTGACTTTAATACGTAAGTTTTACACAAATTCCCGATTATTATGCCTGCCGTAAATAATTGTACGTGAGTTCCGCTCAATAATTATTTCGTTAACTATAAATCTCTTTTGGTTTCACCGCACGAGGCAGCGTTAAAGCACTCACCTGATTACATCTATGTTATATTTGTTCGATACCTACGTAAATGTTCTTCACATTACTCCCTACTTAAAAAAAATATCATAAATTCTTTAATGTTTGAATTAATACGACCATTTCAGACCTACGTCAGCTTATAAAGCTAAGTAACGGAAAGAAATATTTTATCACGTTAAAAATCTTTTGTTCGACATTGATACTACATATGTATTAATATACTCTTGCTGGAATAGTTGAATACAGGCGTATTTAGACAAACACTTAATTACAAGAAAAATATTTGCAAACAAATTGCGTATTTACAGTGATTATTCATTATATTTTCTATTGAAACAACATTTTATATCCTTAATTTAAATACCCTTAATTTAAAATATCTATTTTTAACAGATGTACTAGCGTCATTTTTACTATACTGACTCTCACGTATTTGATTTATGAGATCATCGTACTTCTTCTCATTTATTTTTTCGATAAGAAATTAGCAATAAAAATCGTTCTATGTTATTATTTTCAGTATGTTTTATAAATGATAATTAGTTTCATTGAAGTATTTTTAAATAAAATTTTGTCAAAAAAAACTTAAAAAATCAATCCAAAAACTAAGAATCACTCTTACGTATTGACAACCCTGTATATAAAATTTACAGGTGAAATAACTTACCTGAATATAGTTCCTATCATTGGACTTTTTTTTATAAAAATTCTATTTACTTAAGAAACTTTGTGACGCTCAATTGCAGATATCACCATTTCATCATTCTATACGATTGTGGTTATATAAATACTTGCATTCTTTCTGTTCGATTTCATGATTTCTGTAAATCGTAAGTGATCAGATTATATTCCAAAATTGGCACCTTAATTACAAATGTTGATTGTTTATGATACTAATATTATTTTGTATAGTTCATATAACAATAACATATAACACAATCACGGGCAAATTTGTTAATAATCTTGAGTTATATTATTTTACTTTTTATGATATACCCTTAATGACAATTTATATACAAAACTTTAATATAATGTAATGATACACTACCAAAATATTTTAATTAAAAGATTACAATTAACAGACATTATTAAGAGATTTTAATTAGACACAAATAACAAATTTATAAATGTAATATAATTTTAATTGAACATGCAAACTTATTTTATAATTTATTTTAATGAAACATGCAAATTTTTTAGATATATAACTATCCATTATACTGTGTAAATTTTTAAAAATTATATAAATTATACAAAAATGGCAAAGGAGCAGATATAAGATGTGCATTAATATAACCATTAAAAGTTGATTATCTGAAACATTAAATTTTAATATTTATTTAGGATGTCCATCGTGTAAACAAAACCAAGTATTATATGCTGCAATACAAAAAGTTAAATATACGATGCGTGATATCTTTAATAAATTTAATAAATAAATATAATAAATATCTTTAAGCTATTGATAGATATTTAGTATGAACTGTAATTTATTAATAAAATTATTAATAATAATATGTATGTATAATCAACGCAATCTGTGCATAAACGCTAAAAGTTATTTTTATACAAGATTGTAAGCTATCGTTAAAAAAATTATTCTTCGAAGTATTTATAAAATATGTTCTTAAAAAGTACCTATAAAAAGCATTTGTAAAAAAGCACACAAGCGAATACACATTTCATTAAATATTAATTAAATTTCAATACTATATATTAATCGTTATATTTTCAGTTTGTTATCAATTACAATCAAAATATTTTTTAATATCATAAATTTTTAAGCTGAATTTAATTATATGGTAATTTAATTATAAATTTGTTTTAATTGCTGTGTTAGCTTTTTAAAAATTATTTTATTGGAGTAAAAATATTAAACGTTATCATATATTCCGATTTATTTTATATAGATCAATATAACATTCAGATATAATAAAATACAATAAAAAAAATTATTCTTTTTTTTAAATGAAAGTATATCTTATCTCGTATTTTAAAATTAATATCAGCTGAAATCATGTGATATACATGTAATTAATATATTATTATATATTATTTATATATTATTTAATTTACAAATCGAATGTAAATTACTGTATAATACATTAGCATATATATTCCATTTATTTAAAATGAGTTTAAATTTATTTGCAACTATGATGAAAATTATTACTTGTTATTTAATTTTGTTGAAATTAAAATTTTTATTGTGTGTACTCTTTTATGTAAGCCACTCGAATAGATTAAAAATAAATCAATTAAAAGTATAGAAATATTAAGCAATTTTTTTCTTTGTTTAATTTGTTAACAAATATAAAGTGAAAAATAAATAAATACTAGTAAGTAAAGTATCAATGTTTTTAAACATTTTTATAACCAATGTTTTTAAACATCTTTCCTTATGTAAATTTTGGATTTTTTGAAATAGGCGTTTATTGTAATCATTCGTAATAGAACAAATTAAAATTAGAGCGCTATTTATGGAATTATATTTACATTTAACTTGTAAGTAATAAATAACATTAAAATTTACCGAAAAATGAATTAATATTTATTATTATAAACCATAATTTTAATATAATTTAATCTGACAGTTGAAAGTATTGAAAATGAATGAAATGAGTCGGTTAGATTATAAAATTACTCTTCAAATATTAACCTCAAAGGCTATTCGCATGACGGAATGCAAGAAGCGTCTCAGTGGACGGTGGACGCGATATCCCGATCACGTGACACCAAAATATCAACAGCACCTACAGTGAATGCACTGGGCACACAAACTATGATTTAATGTCATTGAGCTTCCCAGTTAGTAACAGTTCGTTTGCGGACTTCGTTTCGTAAACAAAGAGATAATTTTTTTTTCATAGCGACTGACTGACTTTCGTTACTTACATAAACGTGTATTGAAAAAATGTTTCGATTTGTCTTTTGGGCAAGTTTTTACCTCGCTTTCATTAATGCTGATCTGATTAGGTAGAGAGATATTTATATTACTTTTGTTTCTTCATCATGACGCTTTCTCAACTTATTCAATAATTTTCAAATACCAAGACCATTTTAATATAATATAATAAAATTCTATAAATTACGTTAAGTACCTCATAGTAATCTTAGTTATTTCATCTATTATTTAATCTGCCTCATCATTCTATTAAATTATTTTAATGATGCATTTATTTAAGTTCTAGTTCTTGAAATTTAAATAATGTTTGCAATCAATACTTGCTTCACTTTACATTCTCAATTTACCATTTTCTTATTCATTGATTTCGTATTAATTTGAATGAATAATTCTTTGTTTCATTTTATAAATTCTACTATAATATTAATTATGTTATATATTAATATTTAATAATTTTTTCAATATTTTTTAACACAAATATTAAAATATGGACTGTAAATTACATACTTAAAATTTAAATATTTAATATCCTATGAAATACTTTTTTACTATTGGATTTATTTACTACTTATTTATTTATTATATACTTATTTCCTACCCTTTTCAGATGAAATAACTTTAAGAAACCTTCATTAACTCATTAATTTATTAATTATAAGTTTTTATTATTAAAATTATAATTAAATTAAAATTCCAAGTATCTTTTAGCAAATTTTCAATATTTCTTTAATCATGTTTAACATTATATAATTTGTAATATCGTTATTTAATTAATATTGAAAAAGATAGTAAATATAGTAAGTATAGGTAGCAGTTTTATTTAAAAAATTTGATTATACATAAATGTTAATACATAAGTATATATAAATATTAATCTAATATTTTTAATATTTAGTCACTTTATTTAAATATTAAGATGAAATTTTTTTATTTGAAATATGGATTTCATAAAGTTGCTTATAAATCTGTTTCAATTTTTAAAATATTTATATAAAATTAATAAGCTATTAACAAAAATAAACAATAAAAATAAATGAGCTATTTAACAAATTTAGCATTATATTTTGTATATTTATAAATTTTGTTTTACATTGATAATATAGTTACTCATCGAACTTTGATATCATTTTAAATTTACTTGATGAAGAATAATGAGTCATTACAATTTTTTGTTTCCATTAATAATTTTATTTATTTAAATATCTATGACTTTATTATGTGGAATTAAATCTTATAAAAATATCTTTAGTGTAATAATATTTTGAGGCTTAGTTTTTTAATTATAAGTAAAAAAATTATTTTATAGGATTCCAGTACACCGGTTTCAATCACCTAGAAATAGATTACTCGATGTAGGAACTGAACTCACTCAAGTAAAACTTCGTTATGGAGATGAACCAATACTAGAGCCACTTTCTAATTATTTAGATGCTCAGTATTATGGAGTAATTTCTATTGGTTCACCTCCGCAAAATTTCACTGTTGTTTTTGATACAGGATCTTCGAATCTTTGGGTACCATCTAAGAAATGCCACATAACAAATATTGCTTGCTGTAAGTATTTGTGTATTTTTATATATTATCATTAATAAGTATTAAAACAAAATAATATAACTTCACGTGTTCTCTTAATATTTTAGTTTATATTCTCCTAAAACCTTACTTTATTACTATTATTTTAAGAACCATTAATTATATCTTCAAAAAACATACAATTGAATATAAATTATGTTAATCTTCATTTTATTGCTACAGTATTGCACCATAAGTATAATAGTAAACGCTCAAATACTTATAAAGCAAATGGAACTGAATTTGCTATTCGTTATGGTTCTGGCAGCTTATCTGGATTCTTGTCAAATGATGTTGTTACTGTAAGCATTAGTAAAACTAGAAGAAATGGCAGTTTTAATTTTTATTTTATTAATTTTAATAACTGATTAGATTGCGGGTGTGGAAGTGAAAGATACAACATTTGCTGAAGCATTAAGTGAACCTGGATTGGCTTTTGTAGTAGCTAAATTTGATGGCATTATGGGAATGGCATATGATACAATTTCAGTTGATGGTGTGACTCCAGTTTTCTATAATATGGTCAAACAAGGTTTAGTTCCTCAACCTGTTTTTAGTTTCTATTTGAATAGGTAAATACTTATTGCCATAAAAGATTATTTTTAAAAAATTTCATAAGTATAGATGATTTTTCAATTTTTAGAGATCCAACTTCAAAGATTGGTGGAGAAATGCTTTTAGGTGGTTCTGATCCTGAACATTACACTGGTGAATTCACATATGTTCCTGTTAGCAATAAGGGCTATTGGCAATTCAAAATGGATAAGTAAGTCTTAAATAATTTTGTATATATAAAAATCTAAAAAATTCTCCATAACTAAGAATACTAAATAAGTATGTACTCTATTTTTTTAATTTAATACTTTGAGTATCAACATTGGTGGAAAAACATTTTGCAATAATGGCTGTCAAGCTATCGCTGACACTGGAACTTCCCTTATTGCCGGACCTGTTCGCGAAGTTGCTGGAATCAACAAGAAAATTGGAGCCACTCCAATTACAGCTGGTCAAGCAATGGTATGTAATGATAATTAAACATTGTATAATTGGCTTGAATATTGATTAACTTAATACATTTCTAAATATAGATCAGCTGCTCTGCTATTCCCTATTTACCTACGATTGATTTTATGATTGGTGATAAAACATTTAATTTAACAGGAGACGACTACGTATTAAAGGTAAGAAAACATTATTTGTCAATAATTGATTAAAAATTGATAAATCAAATATATTCTGATAATTTAATCTAGGCCAATAGTTATTCTTATAATAATTTTATTATGAAAAACGCTTTATAAAACTGTTAATTTTAATTTAATTTTAATTTAATTTAATTTAATTCAATTTCAATTTCATTGCAATTACCGTTAATGTTTTGACGTGCAAAAATAGTTATAAATTTATTTTATTAATAATTTTTTACTCTTTTTTTAATATTAATAGTATTATTAATTAATCACAAAAATATGACTGATGCAAAAAAGTTTGAAAAACTGAAGTAAAAATATGTCTATTAATACTCATTGTCAGTAAAAATTATTTTAAAAGTTATTTGATAAAAATTAATCTTATTATGATTCACATGCATTACTGATAAAATTTGTTTTTATCAATAAATATCAAATATTTATTTAAGTATCAAACGTATATCTTATCGAATTAATTGATGTTCTATTATATAATATAACTGACTGCCAAAATAATATTTAGTTTAATAAATCAATAGAATAGAATCCATTTCTTACTCCTATAAAATTTAAAAACAAATAATGTAAATAACGTGTAATCTTTTATTTTTTAGGTTACTCAGTTCGGGCAAACCGTATGCCTTAGTGGATTTATGGGCATTGATATCGATCCACCACGAGGTCCACTATGGATTTTAGGCGATGTATTTATTGGCCGTTTTTACACTGAGTTCGATATGGGAAACAATCGTATTGGATTTGCCATCGCTAAATAAAAATTTTTGTGCAAATCCAATGAAGAATTTGCGATATTAGATGAACAAATTATTATTTTTACATTTTAATGACTTATTAATTATTATTCATAAAATCAATTAGAACTGTTGTAAGCATAACGAATGGATGAAATTCCGATCAAATGAGACAAATGAACGTAATTAAGTAATAAAGATTTTACATTTATAACTGAATTATAAGAAAATTATTTACTTCACATTAACAGATATTTAATCTTTGACCAGATCAATATATGCATGCATTGTAATTTTTTATAGAGCACTGTAGTCTCCTAAAATAAATTGTTATACATTTTAGTAAAAGCAAGCTTAAAAATAACAAGACTTACGAATTAAATATAGGGAAAAAGTACATGCATTATTATAAAATTAAAGTATATTTTAGAGGAACAAAGTATAGATGTAATGCTTCATTGTATTTGTGAATTAATTTATTTGAAGTTCTTTTACACAGATAAACATCGTTTATCATTAGTTTGTCGCATTTACGGTATAAAAACAAAAGAAAGTCGTGATCACTTTGCCTCCTATTTCCCAACGTCAGATCGTCTCGCTTAACTGTACAACAGTTTTTTTTTATTGGAAAAAATCAAGATAGAGGGTTAATAATAATCAATCTATGCTTTTGTGTATATGTTCTAACGCTGCCATTTTTTACATTTAACTTGTTTTTTTTTCTTTATATTCTTTCTTACTATTAAATCTTTCATTTAGATTCAATTATTTAAAAAAATCTTTACCCACAGTTCACACAATTCTTTGAACAAAAAACAAAAGGCAATTGCAACCCAAAAAACATGTTTCTTGTTTCATATTTTCATGAATTTTTTGTCTATTTTTAATTTTTTTCTTCTTAAATCTTAAATTATTTTTTTTTAATTACATATCTCTCCTATCTTTAATAAGTGTCCTCTAAACGAAAAATAAAATTAACAATTTAACTGTTAATTCATGTATAAATTCGCTCAATGGTCACATGTAAGTTAGCACTTGGATAAATAAAAATATTGCGCTTATATTCGGTTTAAGTATGTACATACAATACACATTGTTCGGCCGATGTCTCAATTATAATCTGCTCGGTCGTACTTCTTTTTTTTTCCTCTTCCAAGGATATTCACAAAATTACGATCACTTACCATGCGCATTAACTGTGCGATTTAATTTTGGGCAAGATGCAACACCTAGAACTGCTCTACCCATCTGAGAATACACAATGATGCTCTGGACTTACGCTTTGTTGAATCAACTCCACAAAGTTTTTCTATAAAGAAAAAATACAAATTTTCTCTCAAAATGTTATTTGAATATTAATAAGTATAATATTCTCTTATATTTATATATATATTTATATTTATATTTCTATTTATATTTTTATATATATATATGTATATATATGTATATATTTGCAATTCATGTGAAAAATATATGTATTAGTTTAACAAAAAAGGCAATATAAATAATTGTAATACATATTTTTATATTATTATTCAAGTAACTTAATTACTAATTTCAAAATTTTGATAAAAACTATAAAATTAATGCACTTACACAGGCTTTTTATTTGTCGTATTTGTTGCTGGTAATGTAGGTGCAGGTCCAAAAGATTTTTTCTTGTTCCTAATTTTTTTAACATAGGCTTCAATAAGTGTTGCAATTTTCTTTGGATTTATCTCACCCGATTTATTATGACATATCTGAAAAAAAAGCAATAGTATTGCGAATAAAATTTAACAAATAGAAATTATACCTTTGGAACAGCTTTTCGCATGATATCCTTGTATTCTTCCTTTGTTACGTGTTTTTTAGTGTAATGCGGCTTTAATACTAATTTAACTTCTTCGACAACTCTTTCTTGTCGATTCAGTTTTTTCAAAAACTAATAAACAAAATAGTAACATTATTATTAATCTTACTGTATTATTATGAAGATATAATAACGGTAATGGTATTAAAAATGTTCACCTTATCTTTAACTTGCATTTCTACAGCGGAACTAGGAAGATCGTCCAATATTTGAAGTTGATTCTCATCCATACGGACACCAATTTTGGAATGAGTGCCTAAAAATAATAAGTTAGCAAATATAACCTAAGAACGGCATTAATATTTTAATTTGGTAAGTGCAAAAACTTCAAACAAAACAAGGTTTGTAGTACCACAACAATTTTTAGCCAGAAATAAAATAAAATAAGATTTTTATATTACTTAATAAATGTATCTAATAGGACTTATAAATTGATAGTTAAAAATATCGATTTGACATTAATACAAATATAAAGATCTTTTCTTTTTTCTTGAAAAACAACTTTTTAACTTTTAACCGAACTATTTAAATGAGATTAAAGTATTAAATGAGAAAGTTTTTTCATTATATAAATAATTTTGTAACCATTTTGCACACTAATAAAATTGTCGAATAAACCTATTTAATCTTTGTATGCGCCATGATTATCATTTTAATTACTTTTATATTTAAATTGTATTATATGAATTATATTCATAAATTATGAAAATATTTCTCATACGTATGATATTGATAGAATAATTAATGTATGATGATTATTAAAACTTCGAATGCAACCTCTTATTACTAAATTTGGAATATTATGTAATATTAAATAACGGTAATGTAGAATGAATCTAAAATACATTTCTGATTTCACAATTGTGTATTTTTTAATTTCAAAATTTTATAATATATGCAATCGAATGATTTTCATATTCACACTCCAATAATGTCAGAAAGTGAAGCAATTTAAGATTTTCAGTTAGATAATCGATAATATTACTGTATATTGTATCGAAATGTCGATCTTCGCTTAAACAAAATTCATATAATACGTAACTAGGTAAAATAATTGTAGACCATTGATGAAGATATCAGATCATTGTATGAATAGTGCATCGACGAATAAAAAGATGGAAAAGAAGAAGGCTCATGCAAAGAAAGCATTTGTGTAGCCAAGTTGTAAATGAAATAAACGAAGAAGGAAAAACGAAGTCGAAAAATGGCATTACCCTTTTTTCTCTTGTCCTTTTCGCCTTTCTTCATGCGGACCTTCATTGATGTCTTGTGTACAATAGGCGAAGCATCAAAAAGGGCGTCGAAAGCATCCTTCTTTTCTTGGTTTTTGCGTAGCTTAGTGGAGAGTGCTACATTTGGTGAACTATTAAAGGCAGGACTGGGTGGATCGAAAAGGCCATCGCTGAGGCTCGAGCCGGGGGAGTACGGCGAGGACATGTCCACGTTGTCGTTGTTTATTTCGATGTTTGTGTCACTGCCGTTTTGGCCCACCATTGACAAATTTTTCGCCTGGAGCTTTATGGGCAAAGTGCGCAAAGGCCCCGGCTTCGGTAACGAGTTGGAGAATATGTTTGGCAAGCTTTGCCTCTGCTGCTGCTGCTGCTGCTGCTGCTGTTGCTGCTGTTGCTGCTGTTGCTGCTGTTGTTGCTGTTGTTGCTGTTGTTGTTGTTTAAGCTGGTTATTCTGCACAAGATAATTTTTCTGCGAGTTAAGTATTGTTGGGTATTTGCGAAGCACAAAGCTTCGATCGATTAATATTCTGTCTAAAATAAGTACAAAAAGTACTTGCAATATTCCATAAGACAAGCATAACTTAACGTTTTGAAAAACTCCTTTGTTTTATGGTGACTTTGTATACTAAACGAAAGAGATTGCATTATAAAGTTTGTAACATTAAATTATGCCACAATCTTTTGAAAGAGAATTTCATGAAGTAATAATACAAATATACTCGGATTTTTATTTATTGATAATTTCTGTCAACAAGTAGCTTTACTTACTCCAAAGGCATTGAATAAATAATTGTACTTGTTATTATATAAATCATTGTATTGTTAATTATAAAATACATTAAATAATTTTCACTGTAATTTTTCCGTTCAATTAAATTTTAAATTAAAAACATATAAATTTATGGAATTTTTAATATACATCATAAGTTGAAAGCTAGAATAAAACTACGCCATGCTTTTATATGTTACATTTCAAGAAGAAATTTATTAAAACAAGATAAATTACAGACCAAAGAAAGGACGAACACTTTGACGGAATATAAATAAATTTAAATGATCTTCAGCGAGGCTTTGTTAAACAACAGCCAAGTCATAGAATGTGAATAGCATGCAGGATAATCTTAAATTTATTAAAGGATTTACCTGAAGGAGATTCCTGGGCCCGACAAGCTGTGACGTTGCACTGAATATACTACTACGCTGAACAGCTGCAGCGACAGTTGCCAATACGGGGTTAATAGCAGGAAAGTTGTTCACCTGGGGTGCGATTTGCTGTTGTTGCTGTTGCTGCGACTGTTGCTGCTGTTGCTGTTGTTGTTGCTGTTGCTGGGATATTGGAGGATTTGATGGAACCGAGATCGGTGGACTGGCACCATCAGCTTCCGATTGATCAGCCAATGGAGGCGTGTTAGAAACAGGAGAGGGCCTCTTTATTGTGACCATTGATATAATCTTCGGTTTGTCTGTATTCTTCGTCTCGGATTGGTCTTGTTGAGACCCGGACTCCGAAGATTTGACTTGAGACTCTTCGATCTCGACAGGAGAATCTCTAGTCTCCTGCAACCGCTCATTCACGTTATTGTCCTCTTGGTTGTTTACCTCAGGAGTCGGCGATCTCGACTTAGTTGGATCGAAGGGATCGTAAGCGTCTGGAGAAGTCGGCGGTGATGTGGGGGGCTCGGGTGGGGTATTCGGACCTACTTTCATCCTTGATTCTAATTCCTCTTGGGCTCTGAGCTCCAGCTCTTCTTCAACTCTTTCATCCATCAATTCTTGCATTTCGGCCATATCCTCAATTTCCATTTCCGGATCTTCCTCATCCATTTCTATTTCCTCCTCTTCCTCTAGTAACGGATTTAGAAGCGATGGTCTAAGATTACTCTGCTTGCTGGCAACTGAGAACTTTACTTGAGGTTCAGGTGGAGTTTTCGGACCTTGAAGGAACTGAGTGTCCAACCTCGCAGGGGTATGGGACTCTTGTTGTATTTGCTCTGGGGTGCCCATCTCCTCTAACTCTTCATTAACTGTCACTTGTTTATCATCGTCGTCGCTTAAAATAATTACATCTCTGGGAGACGGTGTTTGCTCTCGAAAAGGCGACTGATCAAGGTCAATCACTGCCATAGGTTTTTTAGTTGCTGCAATTTCGGCAGCTTTGGATTTTTTCTTTTCTTTTTTTTTCGTTTGTTTCAAAGGCGATTTTGATCGTTGAATTCCATTTTTTTCTTTCGTTTTGTCTTTCTTTGACTTCTTTGCAGGTACTACCTGGAGTTGGGAAGACTCCAATTGTATCGGTTCTCTACGTCGTCGCTTAACTGGTGGTAGAAGAGGTATCGTTTCCGGCAATTCGGGTAAGCCAGTCGTAGGTTGCACCTCGTTATCCTTATTGAAGCAGACACTTACAAGAATATTATCTCCACTGGCAAACACTTCTTTCGACGGTGGTGGACTTCGTGTTTTTTTGGTCTTACGTTTCTTATCGGCCTCCTTCACCTTCCTATTTTCCTTGCGCTTTTCTTTCTTCTTCTTTTTAATAGCCTCTTTATTTGTAAGAATAACCTTGAGATTCTTCGGTTGTACGTTAACTGTATTTAATAAAGTCATCGTTGGTGGTGACCAGTTACGTGCAATATTTTCAGGTCGTGCAATCGGCGGAGTCTTGGAGCGTGAGCGCGACCAAGAAGGCGTCCATTGGGCTGTCCAGCTTGATTCTCGAACAAAATTGCGATCTACGACTTTGTCGGTCACGGGCAACTGATGATGTTCCCAATTGCGTCTGTCAAGCGAGCGGCTCCGTGATCTCGAAATCTTTCGCTTCGAGTGTTTCTTCTCACGCTTCTTCTGACTCTTGGAACGCGAACGTTTTCGTACCCTAGACCTCGATCTTGATACGTGTTTCTTTTTTTCTTTCCTTCGTGACCTAGATCTGGACCTCGACCTCGATCTCGATCGCGTTCTAGATCTAGATCGAGACCGCGTTCTTCGTTTCTTGGAAAGAGATCGACGAGACTTACGACGAAGAGAGATCGATCGTCTACGGGATCGACTCCTGGTGCGAGTTCGACTTCTAGGACGAACCCGTGACAGCGAACGTTTTCTTAATTTTTCGTTTCTTCTATTTCGTGGAGACAGAGATCGTCGACGGGACAGGGACCGAAAGCTGCGCGAGCGCCTGCTCCTGGACCAGGATCTCGATCTGCTCCTTGATATTCTGCGCACTCTCGGAGTATAAGAATGGCTACGTCTGACAAAGGAAAGTGAACGTTCTCTTGATAAACTTAATGATCTACTGCGGGAACTTTCGCGTATATCACGCCCGTATTCATCTTTACGGGCTCGTGGTTTTTCAGCGACAAGTCGCCGTACGTCATAACGTGGCAACTCTTTACGCTTTTCCTTTTTTTTAAGGATATCCTTTTTTTTCTTTACCTTAGGATCTTTTGATTTAGATCGCTTTTCTCGATATTGGCGCTCTTTAGGTGCTATCGATTTAGTTGCCTTTTTCCAAGACGTACTTACTAAATTATTTTCTGAAGCTATATTTTCTTTATTTCTCTCTGCGTCCTTCATGTTTTTTTCTTTTTTGTCCTTTTTACGCTTTCGTTTGGTCTCTTCTTCCAACGGCGGTATTTCTTTCGTACCCGCCTGTAATTTTCTAGGCCTATCTTCAGGTATTTCACCTTCTTCAACGTCTCTATCCTTGGATCGCATGTTCAGTAAAGCGAGCTCATCCTCGAAATTCATAGCCTCGTCGGTTTCAGAGATGGCCTCAGTACCGAGACCAGCATAACCCACTGGAGTTCTGCAGCCATCTAATCCGTCACTGATTCTATCCTTCGTAGGTGTTATAGGCTCCAGGCCACTCTCAATTAGAGATACCGTACGATTTGTCAACGTAACACGTAAGTCAATATTCTTGGTAATGGTCAGTTCATCCTTACATGGTGTAAAGGCACCCTCAGCCTCCCATTCAGAAATATGCTCCTCGCTCAATCGATTTTGTTTGTTAATTGAAGTCGTAGACGTTGAAGCTATAGCATTTGCAGCCTCGGCAGACGATTCGAATTGAAAACTGTCATTATTAAAATCCGTATGATATTGTAGAGGTTTGTCCATTAGCTCGGCAGTTTCAAAATCGATGATTTCTGATTTTTCGCTGGGCTCAGCAGTTATGATCACATCTTCCTCGTCATCATCTGCTGACATCATTCTCTCTAGTCCATCCATGTTGGCTGCTGCTTCCTCTTCTTTTTCCTCGTCATCTTTCAATATCTCATTTTCCTCTTCTAAGTACTCATTATCAATTTTATCGGATAACTTTTTCGAATGTACTTTAAATTCCATTGATTGAATGCATTCAGTCAATGCTGTTTTATTTAATATCGACTCGTCATCGTGAATTTCACGATCGACTTCCATTTGTTTAATATCACTTATACGCTTATCTTCTTCTTTGTTCAATATTTCCTTTCTCGGATTTTTTTCTTTAATAAATTCAGCTTCACAAGTTTTTTCTATTTCGTCTAGCAATGTATTTTCTTGCTCTGTTAATTTGATAACCGGAATTGAGCCAGTAAGTTCTTTATCATTACTTTCTGATTCTCTATCAATTATACCGATTATTTGGGTAGAGAATTCATCTTCGCTCATGTCATCCTTATTTTTAACAAATCTTAAATTATCAGTTACAGATGCAAGGTCCATTTCATCAGGATGAAGCTTATTTAAATCTTCAAGCTCTACAAGTTTTTTGTCTAAAGTCTGCTGAAGTTCGTCCAAATCTATATTAATTGGTTTTAACGATAACTTGGATGACTCGATTTTTCTTACAGTACTATCACTAACAATAGAACTTTCTACTTTAGAAGGGCTATCTTTTTTTAAAGGGCTACCAATCATGCTTTCTAATTCCGATTCACCAGAAATTGTCATGTCCGCGGGTTTGATATCCCAACCTGATTGCAACTGGTGCGAAATCTTTTCATGATACTTTTTATTGGATTTCGAGTCTTTGGTACTTTTATGCTTGCCCTTCGAGTCTTTTGAAGATTTTGAGCTTTCGTCATACTTAGAACTATTCTTACTCGATTTACTAGAACTTTTTTTTTCATCATATTTATTTTTTGACTTAGATTCTTTTTCGATATACTTGCACTTAGAATCATATTTTACTTTATCTAACTTTTCAAAATTATCCTTCCTTTTCAACTCCTTATCCTTATCTCTATGCCTGTCCTTCTCTTTATCCTTATCTTCTTTATCCTTTTCTTTTTCCTTTTCAACATCTGTCCGCGATATATCTGTTTCGTCTATCTCGTCATAAAGGTTAACTTTATTAAGTCTACTTAAGTTACCGATCTTGAAAGTAATTTTGCCTCTACTATCTAATTGAATTTTTCCTGATGTCTTATTTAAGGTTTGCCGCTCTTTCTGTACTGCATCAACATACTGAGGTGCTTCGGATTCTGTTAAATCACAAGCTTGTACGTCACCGACAATAACGTCTTCGTCTTGTTCACCGCTAGGTTCATCATTCTTCTTACAGCTTAATAACCTTTTCTTACTTCCCCTATTTTTCGGTCCAATAACAGGGGTATCCTCGTCGCTTTCCTCTTCTTCTTCATAATCATCTTCTTCACTTGATGAATCTAGAGATAGATCTTCGTTGTCTCCTAAAATACTTGGTGGAATTGGTGGTGGCTCTAATGGCAAAGTTTCTTCATTATCGTCGTCTAAATCTAAATCGCCCATAGGAGGCATAGGCGGTGGTTCTAGTGGCGGTGGTGGTCCGTCGAGTCTAATTAGAGAAGGTATAGGTGGTGGAGGTCTGTCGAGTGGTCCCAGATGATGTAACGATGGAGGGGGCACATCGAGTCCAAGCAGTGGTGCCATTGGTGGCAATGGTGGCGGTTCTAATATTGAAACGCCTTCCAGTACTTCTAATGGTGGCATTGGTGGTGGTTCTAAAGGAGGAGTAATTCCATCATCTAGAGCTCCTAAAGGCGGAGTTGGTGGTGGTTCTAATGGTAGTGGATCATCTAAAGAATCCAGTGGAGGCATCGGTGGTGGCTCCAACGGAAGAGCACCGTTTAATATATCCATCGGAGGCGTTAAAGGGGGATCTAATGGGTCATCGCCTAATGAATCCATAGGCGGCATCGGTGGTGGTTCCAGAGGAGCAATCGGAGACCCAGCAGCACTTACTAAACTATCCATTGGCGGCGTTGGTGGCGGTTGTAATGGAGCTGTCTCTTCCATATCTTCTAATGCAAGTTCAGACGAAGGTTTGGATGATGATGTGAATGGCTTAGGACTATCGACTTTATTTTGTATGCCGTCATCTAGTATACCATGGGGTACGGGTGGTGGCTCTAATGGTGTTACGTTTCTATTGTCGTCTTTGTTCGTGCTTTCACTTTCGCTATTTTCTAACGGAATAGATTCAATTGATTCCGAAGATTTTAAGTTTGGCTCTTCTTGTTTGTTGTCGAATATATCGGTAATCATTGTAGAAGACTCTAATGGTCCGATTTGCGAAGACATTGCTTGCTCAGTATGCCTAGCAACGTCTATCGTTTCTGATGAATAAATGGAAAAGTTCGGACAATCCGATTCTGAATCTTCGTCCTCGTCGTCATCATATGCTGTCAAACGAATTCGAGGAATGGAAATTTTCTTCTTTTTGATAGTTTTTTCATCGTTTTCAATCCTTCTATCGTCTTCTGAAAGAGCGTCAGTCTCAACATTTAATCCAGGAAAACCAAAGATCGATGGAGGAGGTTCCAGAGGCCTGGAATCGCTATTAGCTTTGGAATTCGAGTAACCATTGTCTTTCATAGACGATGCATTATCTTTATATGAAACATTACCAGCTATTATCGATGTATCGTCGTTTATAATTGACTTTGCATCGTCATGCTTTGACTCCGACGAAGGTCGAAAAACTGAGCCCTGTATAGATGCGATAGCATCTTTATGACTATTTTTTGTATTGCTTTTTTGATGTTGGTGCTGGCTATCATCGCTATCGCTATCTTCGGCGAATGGATCGTACTTGTCAGCACTGATGTGAGGTCCTACCGATCTACCTGCATCATCTCTTGGTGTATCATCGATCACAAGTTCTTCGCCATCACTGTCCGCGCCTCTCTCACTCTCGTCAAAGTCAAGGAGATCAGAAGGCGGTTCAGGAGGCGGTAATAACGTGCTCGCACTGTCTTCACCTTCGTTTTCCATATGTATATCTTGACTGTCTAATTTCCGAGGTGTTTCTTCAAGATCATCGTACATATTACACTCGTCGTCACCGAATCTATTATCATTACATCCACGGATGTCCGACTGATAGGAATCGTATTTTTGATTGTCGTAACTAGTGCATCCGCCTATATTACTACTATTGTCTCTGTCACGTGGTCCCCGATTCTCATTATTTTGCATCATAGGCATTCTTAATGCTAATGGAGGTGGCGGAGGCGGAATTCCTTGTACTCTTAATCTCGGGAACTGTTGCCGAAAGGAAAAATCACGACCGTGCGATGATCGATCTTCTTGATTGAATTGAGGAGGAGGAAACCGGTTACGAAAATTTTGAGGATTTCGACTACGAAAGGGAGACTGCATGCCCATTAGCGACGGTGGTTGTGGCATGTTACGATGGTCATAATTAGAAGAATAACTGGGTCCACCAGCGGAGTAATCCTGAGGTAAATTGCCTGTCCCGCCGAAGCTATGCCTGCCACCACCGCCTGAGTAGGAGTCATGACCGCCACCAGCGTAATTACCACCACCTCCACTATTGTAGTTACCACCACCATGACTGTGTCGATTATTGTCACGATAATTACCGCCGCCTCGATAGTTACTGCCGCGATTACCACCACGGGGGCTATTATACATTGGTGCTTGTTGCACAAGATTATTTGAGTTTACGTTAGTGAGGTCAAGTGGCTTTTCTCTATTCACAGACTTGACATTCTCTATCTTAATAGGACTTTCATTATTATTGGTTTCAATATCTTGCTTGGGTTTATCGATTAACAATGAGCCATCAGATTTAAGGGTGACTTTGGTCTTCTTGGAGTGCCAGATTTCCTGGCTGTTAAGAATGCTGCTAAGGATGTCTATTGATTGAGTGATTGCCGAGTCAGCGATTGCACCTTTGATGGCCATGCGCCGCCTCGCAGCAGACATGACTGAGGGTCGCGTGCGCAACAGCAAACCTGAATAACCGCTACCGATTTCGGCGTTCTCATCGTCAGACCTGCATTAGGGTAAAACACACAAAATATTCATGCTGATCGTTCGATGCGCCCACTTTGAGTTGCATCTTATAAATGTATTTTGTGTGTGTGTGTGTGTGTGTGTGTGTGCGCGCGCGCGCGCGCGTGTGAAAAGGGGGGAGGGGCTACGAATTCGCAAAGAGGTTTCTTTGAATTGCCATCGAATGCTTAGTGTATTAAGATTTGACCTTGTAATAAACAGAAAGATATTATTTACAATACTCGATTAAAACGACTTTGTTTTTTGATATTGGTAAAAATTTAAATAAATGATTTATATAATTATTTTTATTTATCAGCAACATTATTTCATGGAGGCCAACATTAATTTATAATTATTTACATTAAATAAAATTTTACTTTATCAGACATGAAATTATTCCAGAATAGGTAGATGATGAAAAGCAAGAATGATTATTAAAATTTCTACACAATGAACAGTCAAAGTTATAGCTTAATGAATGATCTGCAATTAAATAAATTATAAGATTATTTAGATATATATTTGTGCTTGATCTTTGACACATGTGTTATCATATATATAAATATTATTATAATAAACATTTTACACATCTTAATCTGGACATTGCTAAACCAAGATTGACAATTGAAGAAGTTTTTAACAGAAAAAAGATTTATTATAAGATCTTTCATTGTTTAATCAAGGAGCAATATCTATAGTTTGAAATTTCATGACACTCACCTCTTTTTGGATAGAAATTTTGATGATAAATAAAATATATAGAATATTTAATTTGACTTGATAGAATTCAATAGGTAAATATTCTAGTGAATCTTATAAAAAAAGAACTACCATCCAGAACAATGTGTATTGTGCGCAATATTTTTTATAATGAACCTATACATTTTCTTCAGCAATTTTGGTACTAATTTATTTATATATATTTATATGATAATATTATTGTATAATTCTTATACCATATACTTTGTTCCTCAAAAATATTGTTTAAGGAGAAATTATCAATCCTATCAATAGCGCTGAAATTATAACTCTCCACAAACATTTGGCAAGATTTTTTCTTTCTTGCAATATTATCGATATTTATGCAGCTTTGGCTTATTATAGTAATTTAACGCATGTCTTAGAAGTTTTATTATTACATTCATTTAAGTCCAATTGCATAATAAAATAAACATAATTTTTAATAGAAAATTGATTCACACACCATAGAAAAGAAAAATATACAGAGGAAGAGAACATTAAACTGCTTCGATTCATCAGCATAAACATTGTCATATCGTGGATTTTTAACAAGTAAAGATTGAATCATTAGATTTTTAATTCATAACACTGATTTATCCAGTCTTATACATAATAGGTGTATTTTATATATTACGGATGCACAATGACATTAATATAATCATCAAATATATTAATATTTTTATTATATTGAAATTCAGTTAAGATTATAGTTTGGCTTACATTTAACTTTTTGCAATCATAAAAAATGAAAAATACTTTTCCTAAAATTTTATTCAAAATTAATATTCTTTCTTTTTATCAATGGCGTACTTTTCAAGGTGTAACTTTCTAATTTACGTTTCCGTAGTTACAGTCATTAGCTAATATAAGTTTACAAATCTGAAATGTACAATGTCTTGTAGCTTACAATATATTTTCGAACGAAAATTTATAAGCAAAGAAATTATATAAATAAATTACATAATTTCATTATTTTTCTTATGCATATTTAGTTATTTAATCGGGAATTCACAATAACAAATTATTAACAAGTTTCAATAACTCGTTTCTGAAGTTTCTGAAATACATTTAAAAATTTTTTACTATATCAAAAGATAAAATTATTCAAAATTTATTAAATATAAAAAGAGAAAAAAAGAATCAAAAGGTCTGAACAACTTTAATTTGTTATTAATGATGATAAATATTTTAATCCTTAAGATTTAGATTTTGTACAAGCCAATGAAAATAATGTATTCAGCTAATAACATTTATATTTACATATTACGTTATCAACATTCAACTACATGCACTTTCTCCTATATTTTTGTATGTAAATCTTTCTTATTGTGCAATTGCGTTTTAGATAATTAATTAAATAACAGCAGAGCATTAATATTTTTAATAAATAATTAAAACGCCTTTTTTATTTTAAGTTTATTTTATTTTAATCTTTATATCTATTAGTTCTTAATTAATTATAAGTTTAAAAACTGCCTCATCTTTACGCAATCAATCAAATTTTGCACAAATCAAATATCGAGTAATGTTTTACTTATAAAGAAACTTAATTTATTTTGAAAATATATAATATATTAGTAATTAAAAAATATTCAATTAAATATGTATGAAATACTATACTATATATACTTAAAGATAATGGTTTAAATATTTACGTACTAATGTACAAAATTAGTATATTAATATATCTACTGTGTACGAAATTAATGTATTAATGAGTATATTGATCTTATCTTGATTATAGTAAAAATATTAAATATATAATAACGACTTTAAAAATATTGAGATATGAAAATATATTTATAGTCTATTTCAAATACCTTAACAAAAATATAGTCACAGTTAATTAATCAGTATGCAATAATGTTTATATTAATTTAAGATTTGGAAATTACTATTTATAGTTGTATTCTGTTGATAACATATAATATCAATGATAGAAGTTGATGCTGATTTTTAATAACTTTATTAACAAATATTTAAATGAATGGATAGTAAAATTTATTTAAATACAATAATTAATAATTATCTTTTTCTATTGAATGATTCAAGTTTAAATATTGTATATATAATTTTATGTTTTATGATAATTAAAAATTTTTCAATCACTTTACGATAAATTTTGTATTTCTATCAGATTTCATTTGATTTTATTTAGTAGAAACATCGATATTTGACAACTATTGAAAAGTATTTTATAATACTCATGGTTCTTTAAACAAAAAATATTCATTAACAATTGATTAATTAATTTAATTATGTATGTCACTGTTCACGTTAATAATTCATTAATTATATAATTTTTTAATTATCCAAATTTTTGTTTTACATCTTAGATAAATCATTTATGAATAAATTAATACTTCAAACCTTTATAATTTAGTATTTTTAAAACTCAACAAACGGCAACCTGTTTTTCTTCAACAAAAACCGTATTCAATATACTAATTATATATAAATACGATGACTTTAATGAGTTTGTCGTTCTCTAAATCGCTCGCAAAAACTCTTTGTGTCGACATACATTATTAACAATGCCCTAAAGATCTAAAATCCAAATTTGAGAAGACATTGTAAATTTTCAAATAAATAATATATCATAAATATATTCAAATAAAAATTTTTGTTTGTCTATGCCGTTGTAAATTAGAAATACTTTAACACTCAGTCTAAGCCTTATTGTCTAAGCCAGTGTTGTACTTAAATGGCAGTGCATGCAGTTATTATTTGAGCCTCGTAGCAAACAAACACCAAAACTATGATGCAATACCCCCATGGAGCAATGATAAAAATATCGAATCTCATCGCAGTTTCATGGACTTGGTACCGTGTGCCTAAATCACCAAGAATCGAAGCAGTTTCTCACGAATAAGACGTAGAGACAAAAGCAGTTAAAGAATAGCCAGATTGTGTACTAGCGACTTACCCAGGTGGACTGTAGTCGAGGTTGAGGCCAGTGCCAAACAGGCTCAGTTGCCCGATTCCGGCATCTTGGCGCGCGGCACGCAGTCGTGGCACAGATCCACCGATGTCGGAGGCCATGCTCGTGGTCCCCGGTATCTTTAGCATCTTCAACTGGGAAGCGAGACGACACTTGGTCCTTACGGATGAAGCGACCGAGGCGACGGTACGCGCACGACGCCTTTTACACTTCTGCAATCAAAGGAACGCGGATATTTAGTCAGTAGCTATTTTGTTTCAAAGGGCCTTCCTAATTATCTGCCCCATTGTTTATTGTACTTTCAGTTTTTAGATATTATTTTGACTTTTTTTTTAACTGTACAAATGAATAAGATAAGCAAAAGAAATTTTATCTTATCCATAAACTCATAACATCGCTTGTAATGAAAATAATTATTCGATTGTTTACAACTTAACATTAAATAGACATTGTGGTTAAGTGTTTTCAATATTATTCTAACAACTAATAGAATTTCATGTATTTTAACGGATACGTTAATCTTATTTTTAATTAAATATTATTTATGTATAAAAAATGATTTAAAATTATAACTAGTTGAGAATACATTTTATAAGTGTTAAAAGAAAAAATGCTAAATAATCTTTTATCAATAATAAATTTTAATGCAGACAAATCATTAATTTTTCATATTTTATTCTTTATTTTAAATTTTATATTTACCTTACTATTACGTTTTATACAATATAATCCTCATTTTTCGGTAGTCACATGAGTACAATGTTTATTTTATCAGCGAAATTAATGAAGATTTATAATCGTTATACAAAATCGATTTTTTTATTTAAACTTAATGGTAAATTTATCTGTTTTGAATTTAAAATAAATTTAATATAAAAATAGAAGTGACTTCGATAGGATAAACTATACGATTATTTTTCATTTAGATTATTGTATCATTGTATACATCAAGTCAAAATCTCATTATATTTACAATAAATGATTTAATTATAATTTTTTATTTTTCATGCATTAATCATATCAGCATGTAAATTACAATTATCTAATATTAGTCTCCAAATGAAATATAATTATTAATACTATTACTTTTCTTTACATATTCTATATATCCCAATTACATGTCTAAGAAAATATACGGTTACACACGATTTACGTTACATTTGAATAGAAAACATAAAATCAACTTTATTAGAATTAAATATTATATTTTAATTATTTTATTTACAAATTTTTTTTATTTGTCTATCTTTTTGGAATAAGATTAGCATTTAGTTTTATCGAACAGTATATCAATATAACTATAATATTAATCAATTAAAATAATATATAAAAGTATTAAATTTTTTTTATTGAAATGTAATGATAGAAATTCTTTTATTGCAGTATTACATTTCAGACTCCATTAGTAATATTGAATATTTCACTAATCAAAAGGTAGGGTTTAATATAATACCACTTAATTTTCAAAATTTTACATTTATTATTAATATCTATACCAATAAATTAATAACTAAAATATCTTAATAGACAAATATCTATATAAATATAACAGTTAGGCGTTTGAAGGTTTTAGAATAAAGATTAAGATCGATTTAAAATTCATTTTTAATAAATCAAGTTTTTTTTAAACATGCAAAATACTAAAAAAATAATTTGAAATTAACCTATTATTGATTAATTACGCAAACGAAATTTATTAAATTTATTAAGTTTTTATTAAATTAAATGACATTTTAATATTTTACTGATCAATAAGCCATTAAAATGCAATAAATTATAAAATCAAATAAAAATCAAATTAACCCGATAGTTTTCGAATCAACAATATGTGTCTTATTCGTGAAGGATGTTAGATGACTATCCATATATTAAACTCCTCTTTGAGTGCATAATATATTTTTATTTAAATAATCTTTTATTATTATTATTATTATTATTATTATTATTATTATTATGTTTAAAAAGGAAATTTATATCGTAGAAACAAATAACGTGGATAGTTATAATTTGAGTAACGCTATTCGGAAATTCGAACAAAAAATATATTATTTTGATACATATACACTACATGCAAATCAGTCAAATAGAATACTTAAATTTATAATATTAAATACATGGCTATTATATATTCAAGTAATAATTTTAATGAAATGAATATAGAAAATTAAATATTATTCTACTTAATGGTATGATTCATTATGGGGATGATTAACATTGAAATCTTACTTTACGTAATTTTCTCTGCAATAAATTTATCGAATAAATTAAAATTAGAAATATTCCCTATTAAATAAGCAGTAACTTTTTATTTTATAAAATATTAATATATGAAAAAAAATATTAACAATTATGTCTTAAGCATAGACTATATTTAAAAATCCCATATAGCAAGTATTCAAAGAATTGAATATGTAGTGATGTATTTAAATAAAATGTAAATATCAATTGACAAGACAAGACTGATTGATTAATTTAATTTTAGAAAGTATTAGCAGAAAATATTCACAATTGATAAAATTAGTTAATAATTACAAAATACATTACAATGAACGTATTATACAGTAAAATATAGTTTTAATGTAAATTATAAGGTTATTTCTCTAATATTTATGTAATTTATCTGTATGTATCATTAAAAATCAATGAGAATGATCGAATATTTATAGTCATATTTTTGATTTGTATTTGATTTTGTAAACGAAATTATTTATCATAAATTTCATAAAATTTGATTATTTTATCAGTAGTTCATATATTTATTAATAGTAGATTCATTTAAACTGAGTAAACTTTGTTTTCATAATGCTGATATTAAAAAATGCTAAGAAGGATAATATTAAATTATTAGTATTAAAAATGAATTTAAAAATCAGCTTCAATTCATTTAACATGCATTATCTATAAATCTTTAAATTTGTAATGCAGACAAAAGCAAAAACATTACTTTTGCTTACTTGATGTGAACTATAATAATGCAAAAGGATGTATGCAATCACATCAACTAATTGAAATTCTTATTTGTATTTCTGTTAGAATTAGTCTTATTCAAATCGAATGCAGTTAATGTCCATCAAAGGTTTATTTCACTTCGTATTTAAATTACTTATAATCTATCAAGATATTCTCGCGTTCTGTAACGGATATAACGATCTATTAAAGATATTTAATATGCTAATTTATACATATACTATAAATTTAAAAACTTGCAAAGTAATGCAAGATTTTGCTACCAAGAAGTTAAAGAACCAGTAGTTAAAATCAATTAAAGATCATTGTATTATATGGCAATACATTGAACATTGACTACCACATTATCTATTTAACTGAATTAACAGATAGAATTTAACAATAATTACATTAATTAATGTTATGCCGGGCGAAGTTTTTAAATGGGGTATTAGTAATATATAAGTCCTAATTAAATAGCATAATGATACAGAAACTGATAGTAATTAATTATCATGATTAAATAAATTTTCTTTAAAGTTTAAAATTTAAAGTTTAAATTTATTTAAAGATTAGAAATTTAAATAAAACTATCTAATTATACATTTTATTAATTTATAGTAAGTTCTCAATGCATTATATTTTAATACGAAACCAGTTTCAGTATCAGTATGCAGATATTTGATTCTTAATTCGATTTCACTATTATTATTATATTGTTTTAGAGACTGAATAAAGATTTTTATATTGATTAATTTTATATTTATCTTCGATAATATTAAATCATAGAAAATTGCACATGTTTGTAATATATAAAAAATATGAATAAAATCAACTTTTGAAGAATTTACTGCAAGTGTTAAATTCTTCATCAATTTATTTATATTTAAATATTGAATGCCATCATACTTTATTAATTTCCAATACTTGTATGTATAAAATATATTATGAAATATATTGGTTGTATAATTTTGCAATTTATTTCACGTATTACATAATAAAAATATTAATAATAATTCTGAAGATTAATGATATTCAATAATTAAACTTATACATACAAATTCCTTTACCCGATTTCCTAATAGCTATAAAAATTTCAATTACTTAGAGAGAAACAAATTATTATGCAAACATTTTCTCCAATTTCAAATAACTAAAAATATTCATTTGGTTTAGAAACTATATTTCGCCCCCATAATGGATTATTTATATAAATTATTAGTATTTTTTATTATAAAAGAATGTACTTGCTACGATTTTGAACTTCCTATGTAATTAATAAATAAATAAATTTATTTATTTATATTACAATATAAGAGTGTTAATAAAATCACAAAATTTAGATTATTTTTACGCATATAACTTTTGATTTATAACTGCAAATAAATTCCTAAGGAATAATTTTAAACGTCATAAAATTACTATCAAATATATGTAATTTACTATTATTTCTTAAAAAATATTTTTCAACATTCTATCAAATAATGCTGAAACGATTTTAAAAAATAAAAATAAGTGTTATATAAATTGTGTCTGTGGAAAATTATGAAGAAAATACTTAAGAATAATCAACGTTTGATTAACCAGTTTTTTAAAAATAATGAACCTAAATTTAATAAATTATACTTGTATATCGACGACAATGAATATAAATTCATATTCAACAAGCAAAAATGGCGAATAAAACTATCAATTTTATTTAATAATAATAGATAATTTTCATTTACCAAATGAATAAAGTTGTTTTTTTTTTCATTTCTACTGGTTATAAACATACTTAAAATATTTTATTTAAAACAGATACTATCAATAAACAGATATTTCCAACCTACTGAATAGAAAACTTTTATTTATACAAAAAGATTAGATATTAATTAAAAAATTAAAAATTTATGAATCATGAGACGTTTTTTTTTGTATAATTATTTAACAAAATTTTACTTTCAACAAATTTCCATATGTTTACAAAAGAAACTTTCCAGAAAATTTTGAAAAAAAAGCCAAATGCATCTGCTGACAAAGTATTTTATTTACAAAAATTAATTTTAGTTACAAATATTTCCAAACAAAATGAAAATATAGAAAATCAAATGCTTGTTCGATATAAATATATGTAGTGAATAAACAAATCGCTGAATAACGATCAGTAAAAATTATAACACAAATATTGTAAAAATTTAATCGGCATTTGGCATTTGCTAAAACTTTAAAATAACATTGTATTAAAATATACATCGAGAAATTTTTTATTAACAATCAGCTTCTTTTACCTAATTGGAACGAAAAATTTCTTTTGCCATTAAAAGTAATCACTGGTCAGTATCTCGTATATGAATAACGCAAAAAATTTCAAGATAAACGTATCTCAATCAACTCATAATAGATGTACACTGGTAGCATTTAATGTAATGCTAAATACGTAATTTTCAATTAAATATTGAAACATAATACATCAGTAATTTAAAAAATAAGTTCTATTCTACAGTTATTGTTATAATGTACACCAATTAAAATGGTTTAATTTATTGATGTGTATTCTTATTATGTTTCAAAAATGTATATAATTAATTTATACAACAATAACTATAGAAACATTAATTATACACTTGTTTTTAATTAATTGCTTAAATGCATCTTCTTCAAATAAATAGCGCATTTCATGATTCATAAAATTTCAATTCATTAGTCTTGACTTCAGAAGCGTTTCTTGTAATTCATCTTAAGAGAATTTTAGAATCTTCATTACAACTTTCACTCTTGAATTGATATTCAAAGAAAAATTTGGAAAATGTCGCCATTTTAGCTCATAATTACAAAAAATGTTGATAATAAGTATATTCTCTTCAAAATTTTGATCTTGTACTGACAATGTAACATAAACTGAAATTAAATTTTGAAAATGCAGTCATCGATTGGATATTTTAAAATTCAGTCTTTTCATTGTGAAATCCAATAATTAAAATTGGAAATTGCAGAATCTTTGCATAATGACCTGAAAATGATTATAAATGATCATTATGTACATTGATAACATTTAGTATTCGATAGAACATTATATGGTTTATAAAAATGCAGGTGTACCTTAAGGTTTTGAATTTCTCCTCAAGTGTTTGTACATTAAGTTACTTGTTGAAATAGTGTGCAATGTATATCCATAAATAACAGTACCTAATTATTAAACCTTATAAATTATTGTCACCGTATAATTTTTATATTACAAAAATTTAGTTTTTATTTTTTCTGGGATAGATATTAAATTATAAATAGAATATTTCAATCAGTTTTCTACAAAGAAAAAAAAATAAAGATAACAATAATAAAAAAATATACTGAAATAGTAATAAAAAGCTTTCGCGAGTGACTTCGCGAGCGACAATTACAGGTACAAATTGAAAATTATTTCACTAGTAGTTTATATTATGTCAATAGTTTTCTGTAGTTTAATCGGTCTTACAATGCTTTTAGCAACAGATATACTAGTAAAAACACAATTATGATATTTACTAATCAAAAACTATCCTATCGCTTACTAATCTGAAGTATCGTTACTAAAATTGAATCAAAGTTGTTTAAATTTAAAAAACAAGTTAAAGTTTAACAATTATTGCTATATCTAATTACTATCTAGCCAAATTAATTATATAAATTTTGGTCATTTTCAGGATATGATTTTCGCTAAAATGTAAGTGATTTCTAATAGTAATGCAATTTTCAATACTTATCAAAATTCTGGATATTTAATAAATAAGATTACCAGACAGTAATAACAATAATAATAATAATAATAATAATAATAATGCATAAATTAATAATAATTGCACTTTACTTTGAAGTATTTACGTACATCGTCAATTTATCCAAAATATGCGTGAATACAATGATTTCGTAATATACCAAAAGAAAAAAAAGAGCGAAATTAGGCAAAGAGCTAAAGAATTCTTAAGATCCAATCAACAACGTGGATTAGTGTGTGAAATTTCTCGAAGATCATAATGGAGCGGATAAACGAAGTTATGAGAAATATCAGTCAGAGGAGCCAGTACATGTCGAATCGATATTAAGAAAATGCAAACAGAAAGTGGCCGAGTTTGGCTTTCAGTCCTCGTAATCACTAAGTACCTTGCGCTTCTTCCTCTTGCTGACGTTGCCGGTGGCTGCCCTCACGTACGTCACGATCTCCTCGAGCTCACCGTCTTGGTTGATCTCGGTGATACGCACCTGGCGCAATTCCTCTGTGCGGTGCCTCTTCTGAGTGCGAAGTTGCCGGCGCCGTTGCTTCCGGGGCTTGCGGCGCCTCGCGGAGCCGGCACCGAGACTCGTCGCGCGGCGCGATGACAAAGCTCCACCGATAGAAGGGCCAGGCGCCGGCGAGCGGCCGCGACTATTTTCGCTTATCGAATCGAATCCCGACGAAGTCGACGGCTGGGCCAGTCCCGAAGAGCCTGGCAGACTTGCGACGACGGTACCACGCCGATTACGATTCGCCCGCACATTTGCGCGTACACGCTCGGTCTGACGGGTGCGTGGAACGAGGTTACGGCGTCCAGAGGTGATTGGACCGTCCGCAGTCGCGAGCAGACCTTGAGCTACGAGGGAGGCGCGCGTGCGCCCGTACGAGAGACCGAGGCGGCGGGCCTCTTCCATGAGATCTGGAACTTCGTCCAAATCGATGTCGATCTGAAATTAAAAAAAAATGAAAGGCATTGTGCTATTGTACCTTACTCGTGGAAGACCGAGTTCCTCACCAGAGGCGACAATACCTTATGGTGAGGTCATGGTCATAATCATAGTCATCGTTATTACCATTAATTATGCTACACATTGAAATTACAATTACTATTCTCTGTTTCTTTCTAATTGTTTCGTATTTACTAAAAAATATAGAACATGAATATAAAGTCTGGCATTGTATAAATTAAATACTCTTAAAAATAAATTTCTTTTTAATGATTTATTTTAATAAAAAAATTGAATCAGCGACTATTACTATGTACCCTCTACATTTCAAAAGATTAGGCTTTAATCCAAAATTGTTATTATATTATTATCTATATTTTAATATAAAGTATTATGCACATTTATTATTTTAATATTTTACATTTTTTTAATTTTCTAAATGTAAACGCATATTTTAAAATTTGCTTAAAATTCGTTGACAATTAAATTACTAGAATTTTATTAGCATTTAACCAGGAATGGATAATAAAAAGAATTGATCAGATAAAAAGTCTCATTTTTCATCATATAAAAAACGAAGATTAATAAGTACAAATTCTTCAATAAAAATTTTATTCAATATTTTTACAACACAAATTTAATGAGGCTTTGGGATATTAAAAATAAGAAATATTAATTCTAAATTGCTAAGTTTTAAAAAATATATTAAAGAGAAAATTGAACACACTCATTATGCAAATTATAATTTTATAAGCCAAAAATTATATGAAGAAAAATATGTAAATTTTTGAAAAAGTAAAATGAATAAACATATATTTTATGATGAATATAAATTGTAAGAAACAACTCTGATGCAAACCGAAAATCAAAAGTCAATACCAAATTTGTTTTCGAAAATACACTTTTATGGAAATAAGAAATATTGATAAAAAAACATTTAAAAAATCATTAATTAACATCAATTATGCATCAATGTATCATCAGATTATAATTTAATAATAAATTAACAGTATTTAGTGCAATACCTAATAAATTACCATTAATTTTTCATCTTACACAAAAAAAAATAAATTACAAATAAAAGATTAAAAGTAGCTCTTTTATTTGAGCATTATCATACAGTGAATATTTTGGAAAAATAATAATTGAAAAATATTTTCAATTATTCAACAAAATGCATTTACAATTTACATTAAATAATTATTTAATATAAAGCTAACAATTAATTATAAAAGATATGCTTGGTTTAATTTCAAGATTTGTATCATATTATAATTTATAAGTGATTAATATCTGATTACTCCAGATATTGGAAAAACTATTCAATCAAATTCTGTTTGTTTATTAAAATAGCCAAAATTATGTAAATTACAATAGATAAGTAAATGTAGATATAAAACTATAATCTCTGAGTATTTTATAAAGAATTAAAAAACTTTTATGTAAACAATCTTTTAATCGTTTTATACATTTAAAAAATTTTAATTATTTCACGCATTTATGAACAAAGAAAATATTTATTATCAAAATAATTGTATAATTAAGTAATAATCATTAAATTTATACCATTGGGCATAAAATTATAAATTTATGGTGAACTTTTAATAACGGGCTACAATAACGAATAAATTTTGTGTAGGGTACATGAAAATATAACGAGAGAACAATAAGGATAAAAATTGTATAAATAATTTCTTAATTATAGACACTATTTATTTGCAATATGAAATCAATTATCATAAATCACTATGCAGTCTATAAAAAATTAATTATATATATTAAATATAATACACTTTTAATCGATAAGTAAAAGCAAGAAATGAATATTAAATAAATTCTATCCGTATTTAGTTACTTCCAAAAAACATAGAACATGTGTTTTTGAAAGATTGGTAAATAAAAAAATCAAAAATTAAAAATGTCCAAACTATTCTGTTAGTGTAATTATTTAAAAAGATATGCAAGTATTATAATGAAATATTTATAATATTTATTTATGAATAAACTTTCAGTGAATTTTTTCAAATGAAGATAAATGTTTTCCTATTTAAAACACTAAATAATACTAATACTACCTAAAAATGGTTAAATAGTCGAATTTATAAGGATATACCCATGTACATACAAAATATAATAAAATATGCATAAAATAAAAAACTAAACTATGTTAAGGCATTTGTAGAAATTAGTTTTTCATGCAAGAAGTTAAAAGCAAAATTAAATTCAAGATAGTTGGCCATTTTCATTTATTGTTCAATTACTTTTACATTTAACGATACATGTAGTTAAAGTTATTAACTATATGTATGAAACTAAATGAAAAAGTATTCCGTAAATTAAGATATCAGTTACCACTTTTTCTTATGCAAAATATCCGTTAGGTCGTTGAAATATCATTTTTAGAAGATGACCAAAGATATTTTATTTATATTTGAGAAATTTTAAACATTATTACAAGCAATGTATAACCTTTAATCCAAACTGATGACTTATTATATCAGATAGCACATAGTAATATCAAAACATTTTAGGGAAAGTATTATTTAAAAAAATATTTGCATAAATTAAATGTGAAAAATAAATGAATAATAAATTTCAGAAATCTGATAATATTAAAATCCATCAATGTGTTGATCAAAGAAAATAACTTCCATTGTGTCATTGGCATCTGAATATCATTTACAATATCCATTCGGAAGAAAATAACATGTGAACAATTATATTTTGTAGGGCATGGATAAATTAACCAGATACCATTAATATTTTTTGACGAAAATATTTGAATAAAACATTACAATAATCGATTCCTTATCAACTAATAACTATAACAGTATCCATTGACATTTTTATTATAAGGTTTGTTTTAAATTTAGATATTATATATAGATATTATATAAAATTGAGATATATAAAATATGTGAAATTAAATACAAATTTCTAATAGGAGACGATAATAATAAAATTTTAATTAACAATTATCTATTATAATAATTAAATTTCCTAATTTAATATATCATATTTAAATAATTTATTATTTATCATCATTTATTAATTATTCATCACTTAAAATAAAATTATATTATTTTCTATATGAATTTAATTTTTAATATTTTCAATAAACAAAACTTATAACAAAATTTTTAAATTCTATGACTTACATTTGCAATATTTCTTATAATGTCTAGTTTATTCTTTTATATATATTGAATTTTCAAATTGTACTTAAATTTAGTTTATGATTAGAATATTATAAAATTATTATAAAATATTTCTGGATTAAAAATAAAATATATATTTAATATAAGTATCTTTGAATATGTACTTAATGGAAATATTTTTTTAATATATTAGGATTAGCTAAATATTTTGATATTTTTAAATGTTTCTAAAAAAGTTATTGTTTGTCAATTATAGTAAGTAAATAATGTTTGGATCCAAATATTAATTAAGTTTATGTTCTGATTTTTATTACTTTTACTTTTATTAACTGAAGAACTTGTTAAATGATTTTATTTAAATTTAAAAAAATTGTTATACATTTAACAATCTTCAATTTTTAAATATAATTTTCTTTTTACTTTCATACTAATTAATCATTACATAAAATCACTACATAATACCAACAACTGTGTTACATTTCTAGATATTTAAAGAATCATGAAATATAATTAATTTTAGATTATTAGCTATGAAAAGCTATGGCAGAAAAAGTAGATAATAATTCTCTTTTGGCCAATCAATAAAATGCAAAAAAATAATTAAGAAAAAAACTCACGTCTTCAGCATCATTTTGGCTGTTTTGCGAGCATTCTGGACAGAACCAGTGCTCCTCAAGGGGAACTTCATCCATCGGCGGATCCAAACACTCTAGATGATAACCGGAGTCACAACCATCGCACAGAAGCATCCGATCCTCTCTGTCACACTGCTGGCAGACTTCGCAATAAGTTGGATCTTCCTGTATGACTTCATCGGTCAACGACTTAGTTTCAATTGGCACGTATCTTACAATCTGCAAACAAGGTGAGATAATTAATTATTGACAAAATTAAAAGTATTATAATATTGACTCGCGACAATTTTCTATTTAATTATAAAGCATAATAATGTGTAGTTTTGAAAGACGAAAAACCTAACAATACACTATAATCATGAATTAGCAAATAATGAAACGTTACATTAGTAAGAAACTCAATATTTTATCTATAAATTTAAGATACAATAAAAATGACATATTTCTATTTTCTATATATTACTCTCAATAAAATTCATTTTAAGGATTTAAAGATTGAATTTAAATTATAATTAGTATTTCAAAATCTTTAAACAAAATATTTGAATATTATAGGATGTATTAAATACTAATTTGTGAAAGTAAATATTCGATAATAAATATATCAAAATATTTCAACACTTCAGCAAATACACAAATAATTAGCAAGTGGAAGTTTTTATCACAGTGTTCTAAAAGTTCTAAAAACTATTCAATAAGATCTTTTTTAAAAGTATTTTTAATTATATAAAATCATCATTTAATTACTTTTTACGCATTAAATAATTTATTTCGTATATTAGCTTTCGAATTATATTACACATTCATAATAATCATAATTTAAAACACAACAAAGATCTAATAAAATTTAATGCAATAGTTAGTATACATTTTCAATTATTTCATATGCCTTAAATAGTAAAAACAATTAAATTCAATTATTTATGTGATACCATTTACCAATTTTTTGATGTTATAATATACCAAGGTTTAGTGTGTTTGACACTAAAAGCCTTTGATTTTTATACTTATATAGAAATATTTATAACTCATTTATAAAAATGAAGATAAGTAACAACCAATTTGTTCAACTTGCTAAGTTGAGAAAATAAAAAAAAAAAAATTTCAATTATTTGATTAAGATACAAAGAAAAGGCTGTTAAACTACTCAAAAATTTTATTTTTCCGTAAACAAAATATATTTAAAATATAAGATAAATTAAACAAACAATAAAAAAAAAAACTATAAATAAATTCATCTTTTCTGTTTAAAATAAAAATAAGCGTATACATCTTGAAATTAGAGATTCGATATATAAATTCCATGTAGCTTTATCTGTCATTTAACCAAAATTGTTATTAGTTTTTTTTGTTTTTTATGACTTTTTATCATAATTGCTAGTTTTTTATTAAGCAAAAATTTTATGCAATCAAAAAAATTTTTATGAGTTATTGTAAAATATTTAACATAAAATAATTTATTCATGGGAACTTAATATAATTATTATTTTTATTCTATATGCATTTATATTAATTTAAAAATATTATTAGTTCTTAAAAAAATTATATATTATATTATATTATAGTTTCGAAATTATTTAATATTTGAAAACATTCGATATACAATCATATATATTTACAATTTATTAAAGTTTATATAATTTACTTGAAATATCAATCAATTTCTTTTTATATTTCATCATATATAATATAATCATAGTATTAAAAATATTTAGTGTAGAAAATCTTACTTCAAGTTGTTTACGAAATAGTCATTTTATAAATTCATATTCTAAAGACAAACCTTTAAATTTATTATTTTCTTTATTGATACCTTTATTATAATTATGAATATTATTAAAATCTAAATGTTCCAAATGCTTTATAAAAATAAATTATAATGGAGTATTAAACTCAAATTTATTTACATTTAGTCTGGATGGTTTATTTTAAGAACAATTTGATTAGAGAACACGATATAGGAATTTGGAAGAATAATTAGAAAATATATAGTAGAAATTCAAATCTTAATTATTGTTACATTCTATTTAAATTACTGTTTAACATACTGAATTATGATAATAAATTAGTTATTACAATTTAGACATAATTAATAATGCTTGGCTTGTATTAAACTATTTACAGTAAAAAGGATGGTTATAATTTTACTAACTATATATTTAAAGTGACTTACTATAGTTATTCAATGAATACAATTTTTAAATATTATAAAAAACGATTTTTAAATTATTTTAATATTCAAAAATAAGTTGTGTACTCTTTAGAATAAAAATTATTTTTATTCTAAATTTCAATTTACCTTTCCTCCAATTTTGCTTCTAACATTGATAACTGAAAATGATTGACGGTCGACAGGACAGGTATTAACGTTTTTGCTCCACTCCATAATGCAATCCAAACAAAAACAGTGTTCACAAGATGCAGGATTGGCCACCTCTTGATTCCGAAAAGGTAACAAACAAATTGGGCACTTCTCTGACTCTCCATCACTATTTTCAGAATCACATGAGGTCACAAGTTCTTTTACCAAAGACTTTTTTGGTGTCTTTTTACATTTATTGCTGGAATTTTTATTAACCGTTTCAAAACCTGACTCCTCCATACTCTCCCAATCTGATTGCCATTCGTCACTAGTACTGCCTGCCTCTGAAAAATATGTATAATAAAAAACATGGATTAATTATTAAATTTGGAAAACTTAATTAGCTACTAAACCTTTTTGTTATTTACGTCATATAGGTTTAAGAAATAAAATTTGTATTCATAATTGTCAATAGTATATACATATATATTCTATTATTTTTTATAAGTGTTAAAGTAAGGACAAAATATTTTAAGAGCACAATTCTTTTAATTACTTACCAAAATTACTTCTAACTTCATTATTGAATGAACTATTATCATAACTCAATTCTTCACTATTTAATTTCTAAAAAATGAAATGCATAAATAAATTATAACTAAGCACTGTAAATAGAATAAATTTTGAAATGAAATGAAAAGAAATTTCAAAATCATACATGGGTTTTCCTCTTCTGTACAGAATGTAAAGGAATATCACTATCATCATCATTACTATCGTCTTCACTTATTACTCTCTGTATCAAAAAAATTTTGTTTAGAATGAATATTGTAATATAAATAAAAAATGGCACCATAATAAATTTAAAAGTATAGTTTTCAATGAAATAGATAATTTTTTAACTTACACAAATTCTTCTTTTTCGACGATTTGTATTGACAAATATATCTTCACTATTATCACTATCAGATATAATCATCCTATGCCGATTGGTAGGCTTAGGTAATCTTTCACTGTCGCTTGACATAATAGAATTTTTAAAGTTTTATTTCCACTGCATCATTACTTCTATTACTGGAAATTAAAATTTTAATTATATCTTTCTATTGAAACTGTATATTTTCATATAAATTACCAAATGAAAAAAATTATTTATAGCTTCTATTTGTATTTTGAACTATATTATCACAATGATTATACAATTAATTTTATATTCAAAAAAATTACAAGACCTGACAAGTTCTATATTTTATATTTCAATATAAATATCAATAATTTAGAATTATAATATATATTTTCATATGAAATTTACATTGATTTTATATACTATAAACATTGATTCAATACTAAGAAGCAGTTATTTAATTTGATATGACGTATTGATGAAGAAAAAAAAATTTATCATTGATTAAAATTACTACAATAAGATGTTTCAAATATAAATTATAAATGCAAGATTTTAGAAATTAAAAGTATAAGATTCATTAATTATTGTTGCCAATGCTGCTAATAAAATAGTTTTAAAATTTTTATAGCAATAAGAACCATTTGTTTCTAAATACTCTCATGATTCCATTCTCTTTGGATACATGAAGCTTCCATTACATTCCCATGCCATCATCCTTTGGGAGCTGACAATATTTTATATTTACCAAGTGTCACTACCTGAGATCGTGTCACATTCCTAGCAACTTTAAAAATCAACATGAAAAGCTCGAATAAGAGAGAGAGGAAGAAAGGAGAGAGAGAGAGAGAGAGAGAGAGAGAGAGAAAGAAAAAAAAGAATGCGAGAAAAGGATAACTTTGCATACACACCCCGCGTATAGCGTCCCCTTTGCAGGCGCGCGCTTTTTATTTCACCTCGAATTTTCTTTCCTAAAACAAGAATAAAATGAAATACTAAACGTAAAATATATTAGCCACGAAAGAATTTAATAAGACAACACGGCTCTGTCGAAGCAAACCGGAGAAATCGCGCACGCATCTGCATATACACGCATTTTTTAAATATATTGGTACACACATATTACATATATGCATATAAATATACGAACGCACAGATTTACACAAGCATTCAGGACAACTAGGAAGTACAGACGTGCGCGAAAATCTGCAAGTGTAGCATAATTCCTACCTCATTAATTAATCTGATGTCGGGGGGAAACCCGAAAAAGCCACAATATCCTGGTGTGCACTTTCGCGATGGTGAAAGGCTCACTCCGTGACGCGCTGTTAAACGTCTCGTCCGTGTGGATTGACCCCCCTATCGCGAAACCGCCGACATCTTGGGGAGACACGACTCTACCATACCTCTCGGACTCATACCTTAGTCCTACGTGCACAATGCACACACACGACCGCGTCGCCGCAAGACGCCAATTGCGACGTTGCGATATTTCATAAAATTTTAACCTCTCTCCTTCCACAGCCGCTCGTTGGCCAACCCGATCGTGTCGCTTGTTCCTTAGCTTAAGCGCCATGTGATTGGGGTTAAGTGACCTCGGTAAACTGACCGTTAATGACTGCTGACTTACCGATTTGTGAACAATAATAGTATGAGCAAATTATTGGTTTCGTAATGGTATATTAATGATGGCTACTTTAATGTAACAGTTTTAATGGAGAAATTTAATATTGAAAAAAATTCGTAAATTCCTAGAGATCAATAAGTTTCAATTAGTGACGGTGCAGTTACGAGAATATGACAGGACATTAAAATGTATTATGGCCCTCGCTCGTCTCTTGCTATCTTTGATTTTATTCCGAATTTATACAATGTTTTATAAAGGAAGATTATAATTTTATTTTAATTTTTCGATGATTTTCTATTATTTAGGTTTGATTATAAACCAGTGATTCTTAATACTTTTTTTATAATATCCATGCATGGCACCAAAAGAATAAAATTATATCGATTAAAATCAGAAAAATTTATTAATATTTTTATTTTTGTCTCTAGATGATTTTTAAGATGGTTTCCGGCGCTTAATCTGCTTGGTAAAAACAGAAATCTGTGTTTAGAATTTCGAATATTGCCGAATTATCGAAAAATTGTATACATAATACAAACGTTTAAATGATAACATTTTTTAAATTAAAGATAATTTATTGAGAATTGTATGCTTTTATAGTAAAGCATAGCAATTTTTATATAAAAAATCCTAACTACGCCATGAATTTACATTTTATTGAGCGGGAGTGTTTAAGTGATAATTAACAAATGAAGCTGAAATTATTGTTGAATACTGTTTAATAGCTGATTTTTATTAATTAGCAATTGGTGATAATTTTGTTTATATTTTCATTCGTCTAAATGTAATAAAAAAAATTGTTTTCCAACGACGAAACATATTTTTTTTTAATAATATTATATGTTTATCAATTATTAATTAAGAAATTTGAAATAATTTATAATAAGTAGTATATTAATTATAAATTACTTACGTATGGTATACCCAATTTACATGTGCCAAATTGAGTCTTTAATTACTTTTTTAATATAATTTTTAATTAACTGATTCAAATATTATTTCTACTTAAGAATTTTATCATAAAATGTTGATATTTTATAAAATGTACTATTTCCTCATTCGCAAAATGTAAAACTGGTAATTATTTAATTAGACAAGAGAACATCGATTAGAGAAAATATTTGCATTTAAAAAGTAAATTAATAGTAAGTAATTTTGTGAATAATTCTAAAAATATTTCTTTAATTATTTGAAATAATAGGCTCAAGTGTAATAAAAATGAAAAATATTTATATTACAAATGTTAATATAATTAAATGAATAATGTTTATTTACTTTCTATTAGAAATTATTTAATTTTTTTTTAATCATAATTTTTGTAGAAATTTATAATAATTTTTCAAATGAAATAAAAAAAAATTCAAACATTTTAAAATATTTTAAAGGTAATTATTTTCTTTGATCGTACTAATTACAAAAATTTATTATTTGGAGTATTTCTTCGAATAATTATTAAAAAAAAAGTAATTATATTTTGTAACAGGAAGCCATAAATTGAAAATGTGATGTTCGATTAATCGAAAAATGAAACACAACTTGACAATTAGAAAGGAAGGCACAGTTTAGGTTCGAGACATCGAGTGACGCCATGTCTTTGTTGAGTTCTTCTGGTTTAAGAAATCTGCAGTCATGGGTCGTATGCACGCTCCTGGGTAAGAAAAATTCTGTTTATTTTATCTGTATTAGAGAGTATAGTTTTTTTAATTCAAAAATTAGATTTATTTTTCTTTCACCTGTTCTGGTTTTTGATAATTATTGGATGAACGCGAAATTTTTACTTCATACTTTTTTTAACCTCACATCGAAACGTGATTTTTGATCATGCTTTCTACAATTTAACCATAATTACGATAATTTTTTATCGAATGCTTTGTAAAATACGAGAACACATATTAAGAAAATGTAATAATTATTATAACGAATTATAGATGAATTTATTATTTTAGTAAGGGTATATCCCAGTCAGCTCTTCCATATAGAAGAAGTGTACCAACCTGGTTGAAACTTACACCAGAAGATTGCAAAGAATTGATATTTAAACTAGCCAAAAAGGGTCATACTCCATCACAAATTGGTAATTTTTTTGCTACATTTATATTAAAATAATTGCAAGTTACCAGCTGAGATTTAACTTTATTTAGTTTCTCCTCTTCCTAAATGCTTGCAAAACTAAAATGTTTGATGTTTGAGGTTATTTTAGAATAACATTTCTAAAGTAATTATAGGTATTCAAAATACATAATAATTAAAGAATCATTGTAATATATATTAATATATTTCATTCTGTTATTCTTTATTTAATGTTGAAACATTAAGAGAAAAAGAAAAAATTTATCAAGTTCTTTTACCCTTTACATTTAATCAACATAAAATTCAATGTAAAGTATATTTTTGAAAAGTAAATAATTAGCTTGAATTTTGGATTTTTAACCAATTATTGAATATATACTTTTATCTTATTCAATTTAGGTGTTATTCTTCGTGACTCTCATGGAGTAGCACAAGTTCGTTTTCGCACTGGAAACAAAATTTTAAGAATTGTCAAGAGTATGGGATTAGCTCCAGATCTACCTGAAGATTTGTACTATTTAATTAAAAAGGCAGTTGCTATTCGCAAGCATTTAGAACGAAATCGTAAAGATAAAGACAGTAAATTTCGTTTGATTTTGGTTGAATCAAGAATTCACAGGCTTGGACGATATTACAAAACTAAAGGTTCTCTACCACCAAATTGGAAATATGAAAGCTCAACTGCCAGTGCTCTTGTAGCTTGATTTTGTATGTTAATAATAATTATTCAATAAATACTTTAAAAAAAAACAACTTTGTTTATTTTATAAACAGTTAATATTATAAAAATTAACTAATTAAGCTATTATAAAGATATAAATTACATAAATTTTAATCAAAGTTCAAATATATTGTATTCGTATATTTTAATTAAGTTTTTTTTTCTAAGTAAATCATTAAAATTTTCTTTTATACATAAATTTATTTTTCTTGTATATATTATAAGCATCTCATTGTGACACTAGTGTGCTGTACAAGTTGACATACCTAATTAAGTGTTTATAATACATCATTACACGCAAATACAAAATATTCGAATTACATTAATTTGTACTTGTATATACATGTCAATTGTCCATAAAATTGGATATCTAATTAATGCAGGACCTTATAATTTAATGACCATCTTTATAGTTTTTTTGAGCCCTCTGCCATTTTGCAACCATACTAGACATTTCCTTTTGCTTCTTGCCAATTCCAGTTTTTAACTAAAACAGAATTAAGTGAAACATTTAAAAATTATTTTGATGTACTTTATTATAATTGAAATCGTACATTAAAAACATTCTTTTAATTTCATCAAACAGAAATATAAGAAATTTTTTTTAATAATTACCTTTTTCTTTTTTTTTTCTTTTATCGCTTCAACTGTGTTTGACTCTGTTTCCAAAGCGGGTATTTGTGCTATTGGCGAAGGTATTGACTCAACTAACCGTAATTCAACCTTTTCTTTTTCAATGTCGGCTGTCGATTTTTGTTCAATTGACGCTATATCGCTATAAAAGGAATTTATAGCCGAACCTAAAGATGACTCATGGGGCACTTTTATTGGTGGTTTTGCAATTACTTGGTTGTTATCATATACTCTAGCGTATTCGGCCACCATAAACTGCACCGCTTCTTGACCAGAAAGACGTGCTGCTACTAAGGCTTGCTGAAATTGAAAATAAATGAAAAATTATATTATCAAGATATTCAGGCTGATTTCAGAAAGATATAAATTGAAAGTATTAAGTGGAATGAATATGAGCTCCTAAGATATAAAGTTGTAATGCTTAAATATTAAAGGATACAGTAAGTATTTCCTTTGTCTATATATGGTTTAAAAAAATTTTAAAAGTGATAAATTCAGTGAACAAAGTTAAATGCCACCACGCACATTGTGAAGATGTTGATGATAAGCTGGATTGTAATGCATGAGTTGGCTTTGCATGAGAGCCGTATGGTGATGCGAAAGTATGGGTATGCCGGCACCAGCTAGGGTCGCCGCATAAATTGGATTCGTCTGCTGGGCTCCATAAAGGACACCAGCCTCAAGGGCCGACGCCGGAAGCGTATACGCGATTTCGGGCGGATCAACACCAGGCGGTAGTGGCTCCACTCTTGACTTCTCATCCTTTGTTTCTTCTGAAAAAATTAAAGATATTTCGTAAATAAATATGAATATCTGAATCGTTAAAGTCAAAAGTCCTATAACAAATCCTATACGCTTCCTATATGTTTACATACAAATAAGTTTATGCAATAATAATAGACTATTGTTTATTTAATTTACACGTATTAAGTGTGTTCACAATGGAAAGACAATTTTATCGCACGATAGATGCATTTGTCCATATGCAATCGTGAAAGCCAATTCTTTTTACCTTCATATTTTGGTATACAAGTTATTACGTTACAGTATGCCTAAAATTAAAGCAATTATATTTCAAAGTTAATCGTGTTCCAAAAAGTTTATTGTTCTCAAATTGGTTCGAGACTTGCCTGGAACGTTTGCATTCCCAGAACTTTCAAGAAAATGATGCACTTAGAAATGTACACTACATAAGTGCTATAAAGGAAAAAAAGAAAACAGCTTCCGCACCTTCCTTTATGTCCAAGGCGCCTTCCTCGGAACTGCATTTTCGCTTTTTGGCGTGTTTCTGTTCATCATCGAAAATATGTGGTGGCGGTGGTGGACTTGGACTCGAGATCGTCGGTGGGGGTGGTAGAGGCATCGACTCCCCCTGTGGCTGCTGCTTTAATTCGTTAGTCGCACTCTTTTCTTTGCTCGTTGTTTCTGCGTTGATTGTCGCCGCTTGTTCGCTCATCTCTGCAAGCACAAACACTCTGTAACTGTACTCTTGGAAAGAACTTCCGAGAAAGCTTTTTATTTAACTGCGCTTTAGAAAAAGCATCCAAAAGAAGAAATATTTTATTAATTACGACAACAAATTAGCTATGTTAAATACTGGCGTATTTCTTAAATTATGAAATATTGCAAATACTCATATAAAAAGTATGTTCTTAGTTTTCATGAAATTTATAACTAAACAATGTTATTATTTTCAATTCCTTCAACCCGATTGAAATGAATGGAGTATTACTATCGAAATTTGATATGCTATATGTATCAAATTAAAATTAAATAAATAAGAAATCTCATAATAAAAGTCAATTATATAAATGATGATAATCATAAACCAATTTTTCAATTTTTAATAAATTAAGTTCAAGCAAGAAGATTTAAATTTCTAAATAAAATTAGTTTATACGTCTAGTGCATCTTACAGATTTTTTTTTTCAATGTCAAAATTATGACTCACCAATAATGGGCGTATCCTCTTGTTCAGGTGGTGGTGGTGTTGTACAAAGTTCCATTTCCTCGGTGCCGCCAACGATGTCAGTCTCCGGGTACGTCCACTGAGCATCGCCTGTCGACGAGTTCCGATAATAGTAACGTTTATGCGACCTATAATGCACCCGACATCCAACAAACAAAACGGAGCCGCATGAGAACAAATCGTGATAATAGGAGACAAGTTCTATTCTTTTCTTATCTTTTTTTTTTAATAACATAGTTGTGGTTTGAACTTGTATGTATCTAATAATAGTATGGTAATATCGATGAAAGATGCAATTTCTCTTTTAATTTAACTTGATATATGTATAGTGCGTTATAAATAATAATTTTTTGGTACAATATGTCTTAAATCGTAAACCATTTTTGTACCCCTACCTGTTTTCAAAGTCTTCGGATCTTCCTGCAAAGAGATATTTAATTGATTGTTTTTAAGGGAAATAAACCTCTTTGATTTCACAACATTTCTCTGAACTAATAGTCAGAAAGAATTTCGAAATTCGTCTGTTTGACTTCTTTTATCCTGGATTTCCTTCACGTGTTGCTTTGTTTATTTAAAATTATATTAACATACTTCTTAACTTTCTTCACAGGACACTGATTGTTACGCCTTATTTCGTAAAGATGATGTAAAAAGGTTAGTTAATATATAGCAAACTGCATTATATTTTGCTGTGCATTAGATTTTATTATATGTTATCAGTACATGAAATTAATATAAATAAAAATTTATTCGATACTTTAAAAAATCGAAAATATGTTAATATTTATTTATTATTACATTTTGTAAAAAAAACCATATAATTTAATCCATCGTAGTTATAAAATGCTTATACATATCAAATATTAGTATTGAATATGAAAAATAAGTATAAAAGTAGCATTATATTATTAATGCTTATAATATAATGTTGTTTTTCAAATTATAATTAATAAACATTATCATGCTATGCGATTATATTGTTAATGTATAAAAATTTATAAATACGTTAATTTGAGTTTAAAAATGAACACAATGGAAAATTATTGATAATTAAGTAAAGTGTACTTTTCGTAAAATCAGTAATTTCATTTGTATGAATGCAATTTATGTATGAATATTTTTATTTCTACATATGATGTACAAAAGAATGGAAATTCTATCTAAAATGTAAACACTGATTAATTTTATAATGTTATATAGTCATTAAAATTAATATTCCTTTTGATGAACAATAAACAGAATATTTTGCAAGTTTCCATATAAAAAAAAAGGGGGAGGAATTAAGCATTGTCTTTTACACGGTGTTGTTTTTATTGGTATAAAATATTTTGTTACTGGATGACTTGTCACCTTCCGCGTATCAAGGAACCTATAACAACCAAGATAAATTATAAATCACGAAAATCACTTACGGTTCTTTGGTTTCGTTTGTCACATGTTTTTGTACTTATCCTGCTAAATATACAATTTTATAAATTCGCTTGTGCTTCCCTTTATTTACAGTCGCCGTTGAAGTTTTTCGTGTACATACACTTTTTCACGCAGAAAGGTCTTCATTTTCCTTTTGGGTTTACAGGAGAAGAGACAAAAATTGCTCTATCTTCCTTTTCGTGTAATAGATAATCAACAGAATTATAGTAAGCGCGAGTAAGAGTATTAAAGCAACAGAAAGTTTTCTATGATAAAAAAAAGTAAGCAACGTAGTTGATTTAAAAATTATGAATAACTGTGCATTCCTTATAATAATCATTACAAAATTGCAATGATGCATTTTTATTGCAAAAATCTAGTCAATATACGCGTAGTAGATTTATTCCTTTTTTCAGTAATATGGATAAATTTTTATAAAATTAACATTTTATATTACTAAACTAGTAGTTTACTAATAACATGCATACAAGGAATTAAAAAGCTTACAAAAATGAAAATTAATAAGCGAATATAATAATCAGATGAATAAATTACAATACCTTTCTTTAAAAATGTTAAACAATCATCACCTTTTCTACACTATTGTTCATATTTTTTAAACAAATTATCACAAAATTTTTCTATTGCTATTGGATAGTGCAATAAAAAAACAACAATAATGAAACGAGTAAAGAGAAGTACAAGAGAAAGAGAAAAATGATGAAAGAATAAAATATCTAGAAGTTCTATATAAAACTACGAGTCTGATGGACTTAAATACATAAACGTAAAGTTGGACGGGTAAAGTACGTAAAAAATCAGTAATTGAAATTGGTAATTAAATTATTTATTATAAATCCCAAGTAGTTTGCTTTTAGAGAGCATTTCTGTAGGATACCGTACCTATCCCACTGACATTCCCATCCTGGAGGTGCCGCCGTTTTTTCAAGTCTCGTCAGCTCACAACCAGTACCAATTAGCCACTTTCGCAAGTATGTCTCTTGAAGATCACCGGATTCCCAAGCGCTTACTAACGTCTGCAATATGTCAATATTTTATTTTATTAATCAAGTGTTTATTAGTCAAGTATTTTATTAATTTTTTATTTACATATATCGGTTTGAAAGATTGAAAATTCTTTTATAAATTTAATTTGAACATCTTATTCTCATTTGTATTCCTATAATCTAGATTTTCAATCTAAATTGCTTAGTTTATTAGCTTGATACTTGAAAAATTCACTTTTACTAAATAAGCAATTATAGTTCCACAATATAAGAAAATATTAATTTTTTTTGTTATATTATTATATTTTTTTGTTAATATTAACATTTCTATTTTTTATTTTATGGATTTTTGTTGAATCATTTTTTTTAATATGGAAAATTACAAAGGAGTAAAAACATGTTCATTGCAATATCTTAGAAACTATATTTTAAGAGACACGTACTTCTATTTGAATAGCCATGACTTGAACAGCCGAAGCAGCGGGGCTACCCTCGGATAAAAATTTTAGCTTCTCAATGATAGGCTCGGTAAGAATCTTCAGCTCGGGTTCATCATTCTCTGCTGATTTGATGGTGGTATCCTCTTCGGATGATGCTCTGACGAAAGCTATCACTGCCGGTAATTTCTTATTGGACTCAACTTCCGATTTGACACAAGAGTCGGCTTCGAGCGAAGCATCGTCGGCAACATCTTCCTGGATTACGTCGATGGTTCTACGATCCGGGACTTCACCGCTAGGTGGAGATTCATCCTTACCGATGGATGTCTCTTGACTTTCCGGAACTGGTTTACCCTTGTTTAAAGCAACTGCAACATAGGAAAGAAGTTATAATCGTTCGTTACTTAAACGAAAGATAATTGAAACATTGCATAATTAGTCAAAAGCAAAATATAAGGAGTAAAATAACGAAATAATATAAACTAAATAAAGGTTAAATTAATGCTAATATTGATCTTAGTCAAGTATTTTTTATTAATCACGGTTTTCTATAAAATATATTTTTAATTGTAATATAACAAAGTTAATAAAAATATTCCGATTATACTATTGACATTTTACTATTACATATGAATTATATCAATAGTTTTATTAATGTTTACTCGAAGAGTTAAAAGAGGAGATTTTTTTAATCAATTGTTTTTACATTAATTGTATTTTGTACTTATTAATTACTATAAGTAATTTATTAATTAAATGTTATTAAACGTCTTAAGCGAATAAAAATTTTATCTACTCATCTATCTTTATATAGTAAATAAAGAATTCTATAAAATAATGAAGGTTTATTTGAAATTTATAAGATGATTTACTAAACATAATCAAAGGCTTTGCAGTAATGGTTAAAATACAAGATTTTAATATTATTAATCACTCACCATCGAAAGCTATACGTTTTTTTCTTTGGAAAGCTTTGCTAGGAACATCAATGCTCTCAAGAAACTTATTGGCCTTGTACTCCAGTTCACTTTTACTTTCCTCCGATCGTTCTTCTGTATTATCCTCGATTTTAACTTCGTCTTCTTCGTGCTTCTCATCGGAACCAATTTCATCCGTGTCTAGGTACTCGTATATCCTAGTACTGCCGGAGCTAGTTTCGATTTGCTTGAGCTCGACTCCGGTCGTCTGAGCAATAGGAAAAAGCGGCTTGCGGTTTGTATTGATCGCTTCCTCCTCGCCTTCTGAGTCATCCTCATAGCCTGGCACGAGCGACAGTTTAAGTTCTTTCGTGCAATCAGACCCAGTATCAGCATCGGCCACATTCCGCTTTTCTTCATCGACATTTTCAGGGCTCGAGGGCTTACTTCCGACATACTCTACGAGTTTCATTCGCGTCAGAATGTCGTCCTCGACAATAGCTGCATTGGTCACTACTAATTTGCTTGATACTATGGTCTACGAATGCATTGAAAATATGGTACGTTTATAATCAACATATGTATATTGATTGGTAAGAAAGATCCTATATTAAGAACAAAATATTTAATGAAAAATTTGAAAAATAAAAAAAAAATATTTAAAAAAAAATTGACAAGTTGCTAACTTCTAAAAGGTTCAAAATATAATTCCTTAATAGAGTTTATTTGTTTATTTAAAAACAAATTGTGGTATTTATAAAGAAAAAACTGCCCATGTTTTAGATGACTATAAAAACGAATCGGTAATTTTTAAAGAATTTTTTAAATAAATTGATTCAATTTATAAAAAATCTATTTTTGATAATCTTCTGAGTTACTATTTGTACCCGTATTGAGACAGAAATTAGATCTTTAATAAAATAAGCTACAAATTAATGTAAAACTATATTCAATACAACCATAATACCGAAATATACACAGAGTTTTTATGTATATTAATGTACTTCATTTTATACATCATTTTTTATAAGACTTTTCTTTTAATGTCATTTTCATAAATTTATGAAAAAGTATTTAAAGATTAAATGACAAATTATCGGTAATAATTATGTACATAGATTTATTTTTTCTTTTGTTATTATTTTTATGGAATAGTTATAAAAGTAGATTTAATTTTAAATGACTAAAATAGCATTATTCCATGATGAAGTACTTAAATTAATTACGATTCCTGTATAAAAATTAATAATTCGATAAAATTTGTGGCGTGCATATTTTCAAGTATAACTCTAAGGCAATGTGATAAAATTAATAAAATTCTAACTCATAAATGGGAATCGATCTAAGTGGGGTAATGTGTATTAACACAATACGAATGTGTACCGAAGATTATTATTTCTATTTAAATCCTTGATTTAAAACTCTGCAAACTCTCAAAAGAAATGAAAAAAAAAAAAAAATAATGCAAACAATCTATCGATTTCTTAGCTAAATAAATAAATTAATTATATAATGTAAATCATATATTGCTTTAAATGAAGTTCATTAGTTTAAAATATAATCTAATTCATTATTTATGAAACAATTGTGAAGGCAACCATTTAAAATCATGGAACAGAAATATACAAAATTTCAAAGTTAGACAATTTGAAAGTTATATTAATCCCCTTTTTTATTGAGTATGTATTTGCAATATATCATTTTATTATCATTAGAAAAAGCATTATGTAAAACATGAGAAATCACTTATAGAAATATCTATATTTAAATTTCTATATTAATGAATTTTGTGATTGAGCATTATTCCGTTTTTTTTTATCACTAAACCAGCAAAATAATGGTGTTACTTCAATACTGAACAAAATATATTCTAATGGTACACCTTACAATATTTTTTACATAGATGAATTATAAACAATTGGATATTAATTATATCATATTAACATTTACAAATAATCAAAGAGCTTTATCTTCTATCATTTTTATCTAAAAACTGATATAAAATAAAACAACATGTTGGCAAGTTCTAAATTTGCAATTGCATATTTGTGTTATCGTCTGACGTAGTCAGATTTCTTAAAGTTATGTGATGTTTTACAATCGATTTTACAAATCATGAAAAAGATAATAATCCACATCAAAATAATAACATACCTGTGTTACCTTCTCAATAGGTTTTTCTTTGTTTTGTGGCCCATATTGCACCGTTGAGAGACTTGACCCTAATTGTGTTTTAGTGTCATTTGATTCTGGAACTTTTGATGATAATTCCACAGGTGGCTTTGAAGTTTGACTAGCTTTAAGCGAATTTTTCTTAGAATATAGTTCTTTCTTTAGTAACTCTTCGTGCTCACTTTCGTCTGAATCACTTTCGTCGTTGCCAAATGATGTTATCATTTCAATTTTACTGAAAAAATCGAAATAACTTTTTTTATAAATACGGCTTTTATTAAAAGTAGATATAATTTCCTTGAAAGAAAAATTTTCGAACTCTAAGATACAAATATATAAACAATTTGTTATAATGTGTTATTCATTTTTATGATTTATATCGTTAAATTCTATATTGGCAATATTATTAAAACTTTATGGAAATAGGTATGTACTTCAAATTTATACAATTATTTATTTTTTAGGATATCACATAATAAGAGTTTATAATTAAAAATTTTAGAACATTATTTATTATTAGTGTGCAAATTAAATTTTATTAATAAATACTGTTTGATTGCTAAAAAATAAAAAACTTCCAATTTATTAATTTAATATATTTCATATATTTGAAAGATAAAGAATTATCAATTAAACAAAATTTAAATAATTATTTATTAATTCCTTTTGAACTTATTTTATATATACATAGACATAATACTTTAATATTTAATATTTTTATGAAAAGAACTAATTTTTTTTAATTAATAAATTAGTTTATGAGATATATAACCTAAAATATATAAAACGTATATAGTTATAAAAGTAAAATAGTTTATTCCTTTGAGATAATGAATAATTTACGTTTTATCATTATTGATAGCAATTGAAGTTAAAAAAAAAAATTAATTGAAAAGCTCTGGTTTATTTAATTTTCTATCATAATTATTAGCATAAATCTTTTAATTATTAATCATTATTATAATAAAAAAATACTGCTACATAAAGTGGCAGTATAATATGCATGCAATTGATAAATTAATATTATAATTTAACATACGTAATTGATATAATTTTATATAGATAATAGATTTACCCATCATCAGAGCTGTCATCTTTTTTAAATCCTGGAGATCTACAACTATTTGTTTTGATAGGTAATTTTTCAGGTTTATTTAGAATACCAGCTTGTCGATTTCGATTTCTAACAACAACTTCTTTTGGTATCATACCTTCTGGAATATTGCTTTGTGATTGTGAAACTAAAAAACAAAATGTAAATTACTTTCATTTAATTAGAAAGTGATTTAAAGCTATAAAGTAAACCAATTTTTAATTTAATTTTTATATATTTAATTATTAAGGAAATTTTTTAAATTTGAGGCTTAATATAAACTTCAAATAAAAATTAATTTTTAAAAATTAGTTTAGACATTTTGAAACATTCTTGACTCATATATTCTCAATAATATCAGAATTTTGTATTTATGAAAATTTTTTGATGAATGGAATATTTTCAAACATACATTTATTTGTAGAAATATTTGACCACTGTGGAATGTGTGAACTATGAGATACAATAGTTTCCTGTTGGCATTTTTCATGAAACAATTTTAATTCATCTGGCTTTTCCCAAGTAACCTGATTAGTTTCTGTATGCCAATAGTATGGATATCAATCTATGAAAGAAAACCATCTTTTAATTATTTTTCAATATACCATTATTTATTATTATTAAATAATATTGTAAGATTAGTTCTTATAAATTTTAATAACGTACATGAAGACGAATGAGCAATTGTACGATTTCGATTGTCTTTATTTAATACTTCAGGGGCAATCGATTGTATTTCCTATAAAAATTAAAATTGGATATATTCATTTAATAGTGAAATGTTTTAAGTTTGATAAATGTTAATACCTTGAGAAAGTCATTAACTTGATCGTTGAGCATATGTGATCTTGGTCTAGTATCGTCCTCGGCTTCACTGTCTGAATTGTAATGTCCCAAAAAATTTGCCAAAGGATTACTTGGTGATCCATTTTGAGATTGACCTATACGATATATATAAGTTTTATATTTTATCTTAAGAAACTAAAATATTTATAAATTAGTCATTTCTAAAGCACGACAAATTGATTTTAAACAGTCTAGTATAATTTTATCGATTAAATCTTCAAAACTTACGTTCAGTCGGCCAGCGTCTCCTTGGTGAGTCAGACTCACCGTTAATATTAAGCACTGTCTTTCTTTGCCGTCGCTTCATTTTACTTCACGTGGCTAAATATCTATTAAAACACATCACCTATATCCTCTTTTTTATCAATTATATATTTTTTCTTTTTTCGTGCGTTACTTATTATAATTCGTACTTAACCTTCAGTGTACGAACCTCTAAATCTTAAAAGTAGCTTTAAAGACGTATATTAAGAGGCTATTGTTACTATTAATTTTTTTTATATATATTATACGAAGTATTGTTATACAAGATTATTCACATTACAAAAAAATTTTTATTTGTATAATTAATCTAGATTTTTTGAGCTTCCTTCATTTTCTGGGAAACTCCAAATGAAAAACGCATGCTACAAAATGTAAAATTGCGGTAGAAACTCCAAAATATACTACTACTTTATGAGGTATAACCTCAAATGCGCCATTTCAACTTTTATATCATTGTATGCAATTTATTTGACGAAACGGATTCTGCGTGTTCGTGGCAAATATAGCTAACTTTATCAAAAATAATCCGAAATATAAAATGGGATTACAATTTTATTATTAGTTTATAGTATATTTAAAAAATTAATTTTTTATTTTATAATGAAGTAATGTAATGTTTTTAATTAATATTATTTTTTCTAGTAATTGAAAATTATCAGATAGCTGTAAAATTATTTACAATATTACAGTAAGTATACCACTTTGTATTTAATTTGACCCTTATATATTAAAATATGGAAAGATTCGATTTACGATTGTAATTTAAAATATTTTAATACTACTATTATTATACAAACTAGATGAAAAGATAAAATAATTATACATTAATTTATAGAAAATAAAATTTAGATTAATCTTTGAAGATAATATTAAAATGTATTTGTTTATATATTTACTAATTATTTCTTCTTAACAAATTTTTATTGTGTAATTTCCAAAATTATTTAAAAAATTAAAATATAAATAAACTATTATTTCTATTCAAAATTTTTAATTTATTTTTTATTTTTTATTTTAATTTACTAATAATATGTTATTAAGTTTATATATAAACATGATTCTTAAAAATTATAAAATGATTTAAATTATAAATTTGCAGGTATATTAATTAATCTATTTATATTTTTGAACATAAAAGCAGGTATTATAAATTATATTTAAATAAATGTATAACCATAAAATACGTACAAATATTTTATTATATGAATATAGGTAAGAATTTATAATTTTATTTTATTTATATTTTTCTTATAATATTTGTTATTGTCTTTACAGAAGAACTAGATTTTTAATATAAATAGAAATGTAATATTTTTAATATAAAAGGAGATAAAAGAGTTAACAAGAAAGTGTTGAAAGGAATATATTTAAAAAATAAAAAAAAATTATAAATCCATTAAAATTATCACATGAATGTTCTTTTATAAATACTAATTATGGCAGGTCCTGTAAATATATCAGACAATTTAATTAAGTGGGATTTAGCAAATGATTCACTGGCTCCACTTACAGTAAACCAAAAGTTTAAGCTATCGTCATTGGAAGATGAAATTACTACCTTAGATTCTGTTAATTTAAATAAAATATCTTCAAAATCGGAATCTGTACAGGTATAACATACTTTTGAATATATCGACCATTGATAATATTCTTATTTAATTATATTATGTAGCATTTTAATTTTAGTTTTACAATAACTCAACTATACACTCTGATAATGCTCAAAATACTTTTGATCGAATTGATAGTTATCAGGAACTCTTACTGTGTTATTCTAAATTGGAGCAAAAACATATGACAATAGAAGATATCAAGTATGCGTCATATGTAGAAAAATTGAAGTCAAAGCGGATGGAATGTCACGACTTGTATGTACAAATTAAAAGTGTATTAAATGATTTTTCTTCATTAGCAGAGCAATACATACTTGTCTCTGAGAAAACTACCTCTTTGCATGAGGCTAGTGAGCAGTTAATATCAGACCAAGAAAAATTAATTACATTTGTTGAAAAAATAGCAGAACATGTCAAGTATTTTAAAGAAGTAGACTATATAATGGATAAATTAGATGCCCCAACATTATCTGTTAATAGTGAAATTTTTTTCGATTTATTAGACAAAATTGATGCAAACATGGAATTTATGTATAACAATTCAAACTTCAAAGAAAGTCATACTTATTTAGTTAAATATCGTCATTGTCAATCAAAAGCTATAACTCTCATTCAAAATTATATCTTTAAATTATTTACCAAAGCAACAGAAAGTATATTAAATCCAAAAGATAATGAAAGTATCCAAAAGAATCCTGATGCAGCCTTGGCTCTTTTTTATGGTAGATTTCAATCTATTTTGCCAAAAGCTAAACAAGTAATTGAGCAGCTTGAAGAAAAGTCTAATAAACGTCAAGAATTCGAAAGCTTACTTCTGGAGTGTCAACAATATTTTTTAAGTCAGAGAGGTATCGTACTGGGTCCCAGTATACAAAAAAGTTTACAATCTATAAAAACAAAATACAATGGTGATCATTGTAGTCTCGTTCGACATTCATGCTCTCTCCTTCTACATGCCTCCATTGATGAATATCGATTGTTTTACCAATTTTTCAATAAATCTTCAGCGACACTGATATCTTTCTCAGAGAGTCTGTGTACCTGTTTGTATGATACTCTCAGACCTTTTATCATTCATATAAATCATTTAGAAACCTTGGCAGAAATATGTTGCATCTTAAGGATAGAAATGCTTGATGAACATGTGCAGAATAATACAGAGCCCCTTCAGGGTTTTGGTAATGTATGCTTACAGTTATTGCATGATGTTCAAGAGAGATTAGTTTTCAGAGCCCATTTATATCTGCAGTCCGATGTGGCTGGATACAATCCTTCATCGGGTGATATTGCTTATCCTGAAAAACTTAAAATGATGGAAGATATAGCTGAATCAATTCGGGAGGAAAACAGACAGATTAGGATGAAAAAGATATCGTTGTCGTCGATGGAGAGTAGTGGGAGTAGTAATATCATTGAGCCCATTTCTCGAACTCACATTATGGTAAATTTAATTAATAAAATTATATGGAACTTTTATTAAAATGTCTAATAGAATACATTGGATAAAAATTTATTTCAAAGGGAATCGATCCAATGTATCAGCGAAATTCTCACATGGGCAATTCTCCAGCGGATCTCCACGGCATGTGGTATCCGACTGTTCGTCGAACTCTCGTGTGCCTTTCGAGACTTTATAGATGTGTAGACCGTCCAGTTTTCCAATCACTTAGTCAAGAAGCAATAACCTTTTGTGTACAAAGCATCGATATTGCCAGAGAACGAATACAAGCGAGATCAACGCCATTGGATGCCGAACTTTTCCAGGTTTGTATATCAATGTTGATATTAAAATAAAAGCTATCTCATAATCATACATAGCTCGTAATCTCTTTTTCAATAAAATCAGTATCAGTAGCTATCGGCAAATATTTTACGCTTATAGGTGAAACATCTGTTGATCCTTCGGGAGCAAATTGCACCCTTCCAAGTGGATTTTACGGTGAAGGAGTATAGTCTGGATTTTTCCAAAGTAAAAACAGCCGCGTTTAGTCTTCTAGAGAAACGCTCGCGTCTATTCACATTATCGAATAATGCTCTGTTAGAGTTCCTATTGGAAGGTGCACCCCAGATGAAAGAGCAACTAATTGACTCACGTAAGCACGTTGACGCTAAACTCAAATTCTCTTGCCAGAGATTCATACAGCACGTTACACATCAGCTTATTGAGCCGGTATTGTTGCTGTTGGAGAAAACGAAAATACCACATCAGGTATTTAATAGTTGCATATTGAATTTTATTTGAAACGATAAATAAATGTTGAATTTATATTTTTTTGCTTTTCAAGCTAATTCAAATAATTGTATTGACTCGCGAAAAAAATATAATTTTAATGAGTTTTATAATTGTTAAAAAATTGTCTCAATAATCCATAAATATCAAGTAACAATATAATAAATTTCCATCACTAATAACAATATTAACAACTACTGAAAATATTTCTAATAGTATTGGTTTCATTTTTATTCTAATTTATAATAGCTGTAATTTTTCATTCGAAAACATAATTTCAATGTGTAGACTATCTGAAATATCAATACTTTTTAACAAAATGAAGAAAATTGTCATTCTCCGTCATAATAGCAAATACGTTTTTTTTTATTAACTAATATTTTAAACTTAATCGATCTCTCTTTATTTAGTTACATTTTTCAACACATATCCTGATATTCTGCACTAATTCCGTATTTCAGGTGTCGACGCCAAAATCACTGGGTACCGCAGAAGTTGTAGCTAATGTTGTGAACGACTCGGTGCGGCTAATAAAGTTTAAGCTACCGATCATCCAGCAGTCAATGCAGCTGTACCTAGCGAATCGTGAAACTGAGAGCATCTTGTTTCGGCCGATCAAAAATAGTATCGTTGCATCTTTTACCCAGCTGTCGCAGTTGCTCAGTCAGCTATACACCGGGGATGAGCTTATGTTAATCGCGTGTCCACTACCCGAACAAATCTCACTCATGCTTAGCTCGACGACGTTAGCTCGACCAACGTCCAATGATCATCAGGAGTTGGAAGTTGCGAAGAAAAGTGAACAAGAAAAGCAGGAGGATAATACCGATATAAAACATATGACTAGTAGCCAAAAGATAGCAAAGACAATGGATACTATACAGACTTAATTTGATTCTCTTGGTTGAAAGAGTTCTATAGCTATTTTGCTCTCGTTCGAAGCGATTTTCTAATGATTATTTTTTATACAATGCATAACGTATAAATGACTTTTTCTGAAGATAAAAAACTTTTATAAATTTAAATTATATGGCCCGTTAAAAACGTACTATATAGATTAAAAATGATAAACCAATGTTGGATGCGTCATTTTCTAAATACCCAATATAAATTTGAAAATAAAGAATTTTAAATTAATATTAACAGTGATGAATGTTTATTCATTTTAAAGTCGGTAGGTATTAAGATATAATTTTTAATATTTTTAAAATCAAAATTAAAAAAAAAGGTATATAACGATTCCATTATAAAAAATCAATTTAAATAAATGTTTTAGATTTTTCAGGCTTGTTTTAATGTTCTTCCGAGATTATTTTTTTTTTGTTTTCAACTGAATAGGCTTTGTATTCATTTTATTGATTTTTGCTTATTACTGGAAATTGTAATATTAATAATAAGTTATCGTTAATCTTTTTTTATTTAATAATAATATTATTTCATTGTTTAGATAAAAGTATATATGCTTTTCGATGGGTGTAGAAACTTAGATAAAATTAATTTTAACACAGAAAAAAGGACTTAATTATGATTGCAACAACACTCTCAGTTATAATTTAATTTTCAAAAGTTATTTTGTTTCAAGATTCTATTTATATTTAATTGGTGTAGATTCTATTTATATTTCATCTGTTTATATTTATATTTAATTAATAATTCTTTCAAAATTTACTATAATGGTAAACATTAAATCGTCATTAAATCTGAAATATGTAAATATGTTTTAGAAAAGTAGGCTTAATAATTGTATTAATTTACGAATAAATAGAATTTTAAGCTTTGCACTTTATTGAAATGTTTTTCTATTAACAGTGTCTTATTTAATTTCTAAATGATAAAATTTTTCTTATTTATTTTAATTATATTTTCAGAAAGAAATTATTTTAACGTATGTTAACATTTTTTATAATGGAAATTTTTATATTTTTATATTAAGGATGCACGTTAAATATTTATATATATAAAATAAAATGTGAATAATGAAAAAAGTAATAACTTCGAGGTTTATTTAAATAAATTGTCACATAATTGTAAAATTAAAATGATCTATATTATTATTTGTGATTAATTTAACGGAAGTAAACAAATTAATGAAAAAAATATTTTAATAGTAAGGTAATTTTCTAGTTTTAAAATTATAAAACAGTTGTAATTTTTTGATATTATTTTAATACACGCTCATAAATTGATTGTTATAGAATGATTTAGCTGGTTTCATATCTAGTGCAAATCATTTCATGTAAAATAGAGTGGTTTAAGATGAACATAATTGGGAAAAAATAAAAATAATAAATAAATCATGTTACAATCATGTCATTACATGTTCTTTTTCTGAAGCTAATAAAATATCAGCTGAATTCAATTCAGTTTAGCATTTAAGTATATTCTTGTATACATTGTCTACTAAAATAGCTAAAACTTTTTGAGACAAAGCAATTTATTCAACATAATACTGTATAAACATTTTTAATATCAAAGAACTTTCTCCTTTATTTTACAAAAATTATTATATATAATAAAAAAATGATAAAAAATTAATCATTTAAATTTAATATAATTATGTACACATTATAATATTTTAAATAAAAAAATTTATTTCTGATAAAAGAAAGTTAAATGATTTAAGATTTTCATGGAATATGTTACTTTTCTATTTTGCCCATTTTCAATTTTCTAATTCTTAAATTGTTTTCTAAACATAAACATAACTATTGAATTAAACAACGGCATTCCATTAAATTATTTATTAAAGAATAAATCATGATAGTTCCATAGAAATGATCTCAAGTTTAAAGATTATTACTACAATTTCATTTTTACAATTTACTTAATGAAATTTCCTAATTTTTTGAAATCCCTACGCATCAGTCGTACAGTGCATCGTCTTAAGAATAATAATAATAAATACACTGATCAAATCGATAATACTAAGAAAGTTGATATTAAAATTTGAAGTGTTTATATATATTTTGAATATCATAAGAATTAAATAAATTTTAAATATAAATTTTTATTATGTTATAATATTATGTATCAAATTGTAACTACATATAAAAATAATTCTATGACCGAGTACAAAGTTAGTTTGCACTTAAAATGTTATTTAACATTTAAGACACTAATATTTTAATAATAAAAGTTAAGAACGTCATGAAGTATGTATTTATATAGCTAAGGATAGAATAAGAATATTAAAATATTTATACTTATGATTTTAATATAAAATAAAATTATAATCTTATACAAAATATATTTGTACATTTGTATCTTAAAAATAATATTTCTAAATTTTCTTTCGTAATATTGTAAAATACATACTGCATTATTATTATTCATAAAAATCACATTTTTTTTATCACATTTGAATAAAATGAAAAAATTTAATAGTTTTTCATTTACATATATGTTTATAAATGTAAGCAAATAGCCTAAAAATAACAAAGGATTACATCAATCAAAATCGTATTTGGTGTATAATTGATAAATTGTTTTACTAATAACATGTCCCAATTTTCGTTTTGTTGGACCTGCAACAATGTTTGCTAACAAATTTTCTTCTCCTTTTATAAGTGCTTCTGTCAGACATACTGGAGTTGAGTACAACTCTACAATTGCCAATGCCTTCTCCAGTGACATCCCCTTTAATTGTAGCAATTGTCGAACGAATATTTCTCGGACATTAAAATTCTATAAAATAAATAATTTGTTATAATTATGTGATTGATGGTAACATTTAAGCGTTAGGAAAACATTGTTTTATCTTTTTTATTATTAAAATGGGTATTTATTACATTTGTGAGAAATTATTTATACAACAAAACTATGCAAATGAAAGTAAGCTTTATGATTTTAAATCGTTTATGACCATATTTAATTAAATAATAATAAAATATTTGACTGTGAAAAAAATACTTTTATTAATTATTATAGTATGTTAGTAGTTAGTATTGTAGTATATTAATTATTATAATATGTAAGTATTTATAAATTGTTAATCTACTTTATTTTTTCAATTTGTCTTTAATTGTATTGTAGACATTTTTAAAATAATTTTTATATTTAATAAAATTTTTAAAAAATTAAAAAAAAGAATTTTATACATACTTTTGGCTTCATCGATGCTTTATTAAATAATGTAAATTCCATCAAGAATACCAAACCTTCGTGAATATTATAATTTGTCAATGGTAAGTCTTCTTTTTTACAACTGTTTAGTTCTTTACCCTAAAAATAATGTTAAAAATAAAGTTAAAAATTAAATTAAATTATTATTAAATACCAATAGTATTTTAATCTTATGTAATTTCAATTCTTTTTCATACCTCATATATTTCAGTCAACATTGCTGTTATTGTAATTAAATAATGCAATGAGTCTTTGTGATTCTGTGTGAATTTAACATTGAAATCGTCTTGAACAAGTGTATTCATTGCTGCTTGAAATAAAGATGTTAATGGTATTGCACCATGATAATTCTTTCCATAACTTTCGATCATATATATAACATTTCTAATGCCAGATTCTTTTAGTCGATACTGTAAATATTTTTTTTATAACGTATTTTCAAAATATTCCACATTTCAAACGCGTGAATGAATATTATTATAGATATTAAATTATATAGTAAAATTTAATATCTCACTATAAAATACAAATGCATGAAAATATTTCTTTATTCAAAACTACATATTAATATTTATTTAAATCATTTAAAAGTGTATTTTCAATAAAACAAATTTAAATCTTTTAATTATAATTATGGAGAATTGTAATTTAGACGAAAATACTTAAGTAACAATTAATTATTCAAAATACATATCAATGTGAAAATGCATGGAATCAATTATTGAATAATCAAGTGTCTTAATAATAATGGTTACCAAAATATTACATATATTTGTTCTTCACAAAACAGTATTTCATAATTTTATACGATACAGGTACTAGACATAATAATTCTCTAGTAAACAATTTTAACCTTTGCATACCTTTTGTTCATGATATCTTCCATCTTTAATACTTGAACTAAAATCATCTATACGCTTTCTTTCAACAATGTAAGGAAGAACAAGTTCTCTATTTGTAAATTTACATCTAGCAATCCACATGAAATCTCCAACTCCTAAACGTCTAACTTCAAATAAAATTCCACTTTTACTCAATTCTGATATTTTTTCATTATTATTCATTTTCATTTTACCACTAAAAATAATTACTATCTTTTAAATATTGCACGAAAAATAAAATAATATTTTATAAAAGTGACATAACATACCCACTAGTTTCTTGTGTATCCACCAATAAAATGATATCAAAGTTATTTGGTAAAAGGTAAAAGGATTCATTTGATGTATTTTCTATAAGAATTATTTTTTTATTTTGTTTATCTGTAGAATCATCTTTTGTAAATATTCTTTTTCTATCTTGTATCCCACCAATTTTTTTCTTTGTATTACATTCCAAGGGAACGTTCTTCTAATAATTTAAAAATACATTGGTTTATTAACTAATATAAAAATTTGAAAAATATTTTTTTATATGTTAAGAATTTAAAAAATTCATTAATGAAAAACTACATTTTATTAGTAATAGATCTTAATTTTGGATAATGAATCTATTATAAAAATTTATAATAAGTATATTCTACTTATTCATAAAATTTATTCAATTAAATGAAATTTTTAATTTTTGATTTTAATTGAAATTTTTATTAAAAAATTATTTTAATTCTTAGTCAATCCATATAATAACTATTAAAAAATGATTGGAACAACTATAAAACTAATAAATATAGTATTTTTATATTTAACTTACATTAATTAAAGATTCTTTATTTATATTACATAATTCTTGAAAAGAGTCATGATTTGATTTATCTTTTTCTATATGCGGTATGTTTCTTGCATCTTTATCAAAAACAACTGTTTTTTCACTTTTAGTTTTCTGTTACAAATTAAAAATGTTAAGTAGATTAATATTTTCGTTTATACAACTTATTAACTTATAAAATTAAGAATACATAAAATATTTACCATTTTATTACATTTATATATTTTGCTATCATTATCATTATCAGTGTCATCATCAATTATTATAATATCATCTATTTCTTTAATATTTTCATGATCATTATTTAATACTGATGAAGACTTAATAGAATCTGTTAAATTACTTGTTGTTAAATCTAAATACAAGGGAGCTTTTTCAATATGTAGAAGATCATTGATACTGTCTTCAGAGGATTTTGATGTATTACTTTTAGATTTAAGTGAAGAAGCTATTAAACTATTTAGAGATTCTTTTACATTTAATAAACTATTAGATAATCCTGCATTTTCATCGGAACTATCTGAGGAAATATTTTCTCTTGCTTTTTGTAATGATATAGCAAGTGACACGCCGGTATCAGTTAAACTATACTTTGCTGGATTACTTTTTTTAAGTATTAAATTCTTAGTAATTAATAAACTCATAGAAGACCAACCCGCATAATGCTGTGAAGCAGTTGTTTTCATTGGATATTCACATTCACTTTGTGCTTGCGATATTATTTCATTTTTATACATAAAGCCTATAAAATTACTTTATAATTATTTAATGTATTTAAATTATTTATATTTCATTTACTCACCAGGATAATTAGGTTTTTTCATATTTTTATACATTGTTATCAAAATAGCATAAGATGGAGAACCAATTTTTGGAATATATATTTTGTTTGATTTCTGAAATAAAAATGTTTAATTTTAATTTATCTGTAATAATTATATATCAATGATAGTAAACTAGTAAAAATACATTTTGTATTGTTTTACTATTATTTTGCAAAGAAATATTTTGTTTATAAGTAGATGATATATTATGTAAATTATTATACTCTGCTAATTTTTTATCAAGCATACAGCACAATTTATGCCCAAAGTGATTTAGAATATAACATTCTTTTCCAGTTGCTAAAGGCAAAGGATATTTTCTCAAAGAGGATAGGGCTTTTCCAAAAGCATATTGAATTGGTAAATCTTTTGCAGCTGCCATTTCCTTCCATTCTTCTAGCCATTTTTCAAACAATGGATTTGGAGTCTCTGGATATTTTCTTATTCTTTTCATTATTGCTAGAAAGTTAATAACAAAGAAATAATAAATAATTTAATATATAATCAAATAATATATACAATACAACATTTTTACAAAATAACCTATTTTTATAAATGTTTATATCTCATAATTTTCTCAATATCAAACTGAGTAGTTTATAAATAACAAAAATATAAAGATTATGTACGAAGGTTAATTTTTTACCTTATGCTGTAGAAACATTTAATCGTTATATAAATGAAATATATTTGATAATATATAGCGCTTTTTAATTCAAGTTAAAAGCGAAAGATTTTATTTTAATTTTCAAAGACAAGATCTTTAAATTGTTAGATTACCACCATAATAACGCCACAGAAGATATATAAAAGTACACAATAGACGATATATAATAGATTACGCTAATTTGATTATAGCCCGCGAATTATAAGTTTTTAATGAGAATTGTATAATTTTGCACTAGAGGAAAACATTATTAGACATGTAGTTAGAATTCTTGTTTAAAATAAATCTGTTAAATAAATAAATCTATTAATTTGTCTCTTTTCTATGTTAATTTATAAGTCGTCCGTTAAAAATGATGAATTGACTCAACATTAACAGAATTACATTTCTTATAATTGGTCTATACCATGAGTTTAAGTATAATTATTTTTCTGAAGTGTAAAATTTCGCTATTATATTCAACAAAATATGGATTGCAGCATATTTAAATTTCATTTTAATAATATAAATTCCTTTTTTTAAATAATATGATTGCGCGTAATAATAAAGAACTTTATGATCTTTAAGTGGAAGGTTCGTTTTTAATAGTTCCGATTATTCTATTTTGACGTTTGACAATCTGCGATATTGATATAAAAGGTAAAGCAATGTTTTTGGTTATAATTTTTTCATGTCATGGTAGACCCAACGATAGGATAGTCAATTAATAGGTAATTATAATAAGTAAATGTGCACCAGTTTTTCTTTCTCACATTTCAGTATCTGAAGAATCGTATATTCATATATTTTAAACCATTACAAGTAGCGCAAAGTAATTTATTGCAGTTTAGCTATAAAATAATTGTTTTAAAGGTGTTTATGACAAATTTTTAATATTCTATTGCAATAGAAAACTAATTAGAGTTTACTTATACTCCTCTCTATACTTTGTAATTTTATCTTATATCTACGTATTAATATAGCTTTTTCGAGTACTAATGTTATTAATTACTTAGGCAATATCCTTTTACTTTGACATCAAATTATAATTTATTGTTATTATAAAATCATTAAAATTCACGGTCTATATAACATAGAGGTTTGAAATGATGGAAGGACAATATTTATTAAAAATTCTGAACAAATTGACAGTCAATGATAGAGAGGCATGTTCAAAGTAACCCTTTGCATTTACAGATTTTTAATACCTTAATAGTGAAAAACATGTAAAACGAAAGATTTAATTTTTACCTCCTATGACCATCAAATGTTAAACGTTCAAACGGGACAGTGTAGTGAAGACAGTGTAGACAGTGAAGAGGGATATTTATTTATAAAAATGGCGGACCAAGTGCTTAGAGAATTGGAGGCTGCTGCACAAGTTATTTTAGTGAGTTTTTCTTTCAAATTTTTAGTCATATAAAAAACCCAGGTAGCGTAAATTCATCAGAAATTTTATAATTTTATAAAAATATCACTTGATCATAATATATTTTAAACACAGATTCACAATTTTTTGTATTGGTTATGTTACCTTCATCTTAAAAAGTTTGTTTTGGATTAGGCTTTCGTAAAATCTTTATGATATAATACCAAGAATAATTTTTTAATATTGACCTAAATTCCAGTAAGAACATGTTTTCAATGAAATTTTATTTACGTACACGATTTAGCTATCACATCATTTTTCATTGAATATGAAAGCCATACTTTTTTTTTATTTTTCTTGTATTTTAATTTAATGCCTCAATACTGAATCGAAATATAATAGAGTTATTGTTTCCAATAGTTAAAAAAGAATTTGGGTAATATTTAAAGTTTACGACATTTATTATTGAAATTTTTGTTTCATCTATGTTTTATCTTTATAAGGTTTCTATGATTCTCGGTTTTTCTTTATTATTCAAACAAACGTATACAGTAAATGTATATATTCGAATAATATATTATAATTATTTCTTTTTATACAATTTTATATAAATTATTTATAAATTGTTCATATTATATAAATATTATAGATAAAATTTTATTAAATTAAATAGTATAAAACTAATTAAACAATCTTAATTATTTTTAATGTTCATATTTAGTATTAATTATTTTTAGTATTCAATTGCAATGAAACTGAAACTTTATTAATAATTTATTTAAACAATATTGTATTATTTCATGATATAAAATATAAAATCATGATATCAAATATAAAATAAATCATAATTAAATATTTAATAAAAATAAATATTTAATATAATTATGTTTTATACCAATAGATATAATTTTTTTACAAAAGAGTTGATTTTTTAGAGATCAATGAATAACATTCAAATTATGAAAACTTTAATTATAGGCGCCATCAAATCTTGTCAATGCTGAACAGCGACAATCAGCAGAAGCAGTTTTTTTAAATTTTCGTAAAACAAAATCACCATATCAGCTATGTCGACAAATTTTAGAGACTACTACAGTAGATTATGTCTTATTTGAATCAGCGAATGTTATTAAAGCTGCACTGATAAAAGAATGGACTATTATGCAGCAAGCTGATATTGTATCTCTCAGGCATTATTTATTGCACTATATAATAAGTAAGCCAAAAAGAATTTTACATTTTATTGCAATTATGGTAAAGAGAGGTAGTGTTGAAGATCATGGAGAAGAGAGAAAAGAAATTTTGAATGAAGTTGAAGGATTAATTATGAGTGGAGATATGCCAAGGGTAGGTTATAAATTTTTATGAATCCTTAAATAAAATATGTAAATAGCTTAATTATTTTTTATGAACAATATTTATCCAATGTAATATACTAAGCTTTAATGTATAAATTTTTAGTTTCAACTTTAACAAAAATTTAAATATCGATATTTTAAAAATGTTATAGCAATTATTAGGTTGTAGCATAATTTCAGCGCTAATGCAAGAATATGCTACAACCGTAAAATCATCAGATGTTGGACTAACTTGGGAAGTACATTTTAAAGCAAAAAAACAGTTTGAAGTTACATCATTGAAGAGAATATTCAAGTTTTGTATTCAAGCACTTGGAGAATTAACAAAATCTGATATACCTGAATCTATTTTACCATTAATAAAGCATTTGCTCTCTATTTGTGAAAGTGTACTAATGTGGGGCTTTATATATGTTAATTATATCCTTTTAAACTATTATATATTATTTTTATAATATTATTAACGTTTATAAAGTAAATTGCTTAAATGCAATTATAATATTGATTTTGAAGATTCAATTGAAATTTAATTCTGAGTACATTCAAAAATTTATTTTAAATATATTTGTCCAAATTATAAATCAGAGTCATATAATAACTAATATTACAAAATTACAAAATTTACAAAATTTGTGTGTTTATAACCAGAATAAATATTAACTTTGATATTTAAAGAGATATTTTATTTTTTGTTGGATACTTTATTGTTTTAATAAATTATTTTCAGTTGAAAAATATGTTACAAAAAAAATTTTTTTAATAAATAAATCCTTCATAAAAAATTTGAAAAATAAATATATTTAAAAGAAAGTAATTTATATAATAATTAAACTTTAATAATCAATATATTGAGTAAATCTTTAGTTCTATGTAATCTATATAATCAAATAAAAGATTTTATAATCCTTAACTGCAAAACACTGCCTAAAAGATTGATAGGGGTTTTTGAATCTGCCTATGAGTCAGAGAGCAGTTCAACACTACGTTTAACAACTATGTGGAGGGATGTAATATTAGATCCCATAGTTGTGCAATTATTTTTCACATTATATTGGAAAGTCAGATCAAATCCACAACTAGCACATCATGCGAGAAATTGTCTTGTACAATTAGCCAGCCTTAATGGTTTAATTGTTCAAGCTCCTGAGGTGAAATTTCAGTATCTCAGCACATTTGTACAGAGTTTTCTGAAACTTCTTTCAAATATCAAAATTATCGACGAAGAAGCAATTGGTATTGCTAATGTATTTAAAAAACTCATTGGCTGTTTTCGGGCAGCAATACCCAATCTGCCACAAGAGACTCAAAGGTCATTCATGGAATATATGACACAATTGACATGCTTATTTGCTGATGGTGCCAACCAAGAGGAATCTGTGAGTAAAGCTTTTTTTGTTTATATTTTAAGCATGGTAATTAATTAAATTCTTTTTAAGAAATTAATTGATAATATCTCATATTGAAAAATAAAGCATAATTATAAGAAATATTTCTTGGTATTGTCATTTAAATAATGAAAACAGTGAATTATGTTCAATTTTCATGTACCATTATTATTTCATAATAAAACTATTTGCAAATTAAAAATATTTTTTCAAAAAATTTTTAAAAATTGTCACCAGGATTTTATATATAAAATTTTGAGTCACTTTATTTGTATAAAATAGTATACAGATTTTAATAATATTTATATTCTCTGATTTCAAAAGTAAATGAGTAGTTATACAAAAGATAAATTTCAAATAATACGAGTATATATAAAAATAAATGAGTAATTATATAAAATATAAATTTCAAATAAAACGACTATTATAGAATAATTTGCTGTGATAAATTTTCAGAAATGTACGAAACTATAAACATTTTAAATTATCAAAATGTCATCCTGAACCTGTAAAATAATTAGTTAAGTAAAATTTCGTATTTTTGAATATATTTTTCCATCACGAGTGTTTGTGTTTGTGTTCACAGCTTTATTATTTATTTTATTGTATTTATTTATTTATTGCTCAAACGGTAACAAAATATAAGTATTATAATGTGGTTATTGTCTGTATTATTATATTTCAGAATAATGCTTTGTTTTGCGTTAATTCTTTTAAAACAAAAACAAACGTATACTCATCGTGACCACATATTGTACCTATTTATCTAAATAATTTTGACATTACTTAAATAAATTTAACTTGAAATGTACCAATTACTTTTATAATTATTTATATGTATTTAAAAAATATTCATATAAATCTCTAACTTTTAATGATATAGCCATAATTTATCCTTAATCTAAAGGACACATAAAAAATCTCAACAATAGTTATATTTAATACATTTTGATATTTTTTATGTAAACTGTTAGGATATTGGAAATTATATATAAATGATAAATACGTATTTTTGAATCATTACATAAAATCATTTTATGTTAAATATGGAATTTTATAGTATTATTTACAATATAAATGTATATAAAGTTGAGGCTAAAGTAAAAACACTTTTAAAAATTACAAAATAAAATAAATTATTATATTAGGTTAAGCAATTTATAGATTCTTAAATTAAAATAATAAATTATTATGAATTATGAGCAAAATGTTTATTTTATATTTCCCTTTAGATATTTACTTTATATAATAATTAAACTTTACTTTTACTTATGTTAACAAGTATAACAAAATATATATAGAATATAGATTGATTAATTGTTTAAATATGAATTATTTCTCTATATTTATTATTATTTTTATAGAAGAATTTTTACCAATACCTCACTAATACATGCCGCTAAATCTAATTTTAATTAAGAAATTGTCTACAAATATATATTATACATTTTTATGATTGGATACAAAGTATGATGTATACATATACAGATTATAATGATATAAAACTCAATCATTATAATAAATCGCAAACTTTGGCATTGTACGAATTAATGCCAATCTAATGTTTTTATTTTATTCAAAGATAAATCTATTAATACTAATATTTCTATCAATTTCTTTTATCTAATTAGTGTTTATAAGATGTATCTAAAAGCAAATTTAAAAGTAAAAATGTTTTATTTTGCGGATGTTTCCATTTCACTATGTTAAATATTTCATTACAAAAACGTACTTACTGGATTTACTAATTACTTATTGCAAGCAAAAAGGAGAAATTTTGAAAATTGCTTAACTATCTCTTATAATATTAGCCTTAACTTGATTTTTGTGCATGAGATATGCAGTCAACTTTCCAACTAACAAAATATTTTGCAGCTCTGCGCTGACGACTGTTTATTTATGGAGGCGTTTGAGTGTATGTTGGAGATGTGGATGTCGGTACTGTCATATGCACCCCTCTTTCCTGTGGAGTTTTGTCAGCAAAGCTCCGTACAGATATTCAACACGTATTTGCAGTGCCACTTATCACCTCCTGACGGACGCCGAGGCGTGGGCAAAAAAGATCTAAAAAAAGAAGAAATCGATGGCAACGAGGAAGATGATCGGTCCAAATATAAAGAACAACTTCAAACAATTGGTTATACACACGTTACTTTTGCTTTTTATATTCTTCACAATCATGGTTTTTCATTCTTTAAAATTCTGTTTTGATTCGAACGTATTGAATAATTGCTCTGATGCATTTATTAATTCTGGTCCATTAACGTGGAAACAACTAAATTAATAGATAGCTTGTAAGGATTATCTAAAAATATTTCTTAAGAATTACGAAGCCGCTTTTTTATAACGTCGATTGAATTTAAATATTACTGGAATGGATTATATATAATGTGCATGAGTCATCATCATATTTAAAGAATTATTAGATTTTCAAATAACTTCATATTTAAATAATTGAGTAACTGTCACAATTATTATTTCAATCATTTAGGTGTCTTCGGCAGACACATCTTGAGTCACTCTCTGCCACTACTTTCACGTTTGCTTGAAAATGGTACGATAAAATTAAAGGAACATCTGAACCGGCTAGTTGTTCAACCAGAATCTCTTCATGCTGCAGACCACGTTACCGTTGAAAATCTTTACGAGGATTTACATTGGTTGGTGCTTATCGCTGGGCACGTACTGTGCATGGAGTCAGTAGGTGAAATGCCGCTGGTGCCCTCAAAAGTCATGCGCTATAGCATGGAACAAGTATGATACAGATTATTTTATGTCAATAGTAAAGAGCACTTAAGGTTGTGCGTGCGTATGCGTATGCGTATGCGTGTGCGTGTGTGTGTGTGTGCGCGTGTTTGTTTGTGTGATAAGCGCGCCGTTGTTAATATGTAAAAATTACGATACATAATTTACAACAATACAATAAATATTTTAGTTCATACCTTAATTAAATAAATAATATCTCTTATTACTACATCCATATAATTCTATACATGCAACTCGTTTTAATATATTTTTATAGGTGCAACAGTGTCAGATGGATTTGAACGTAACATTGCAGCTACTCGCCTCTCCTCAGAGCAATATAAGTGATATAAGCGGTGCCGAGCAGTCAGCTGATCATGTAATACGGTTAATAGCGGCCGTATTCCGACTGAGTGAAGTTGCAAAGACTGCAATAAATTTCAACGCGGCTAAGCACCTTTCGCCCGAACTTTGCAGCAGTATAATTTGGTTTCTTCATCGCTGGTCCCTCAGCTATCTCTTACCTAAAGAGAACCACTACTCGGAGCTAAGTACGACGCTGCTTCAGGCTTTCGGCGATGATACACCCGGTAGTCAGTGGACTATGAATTTCCTCGTCGAAAAAATTGAGTGCAATATCAATGCTTTTAAAGGCGAGCCCAACCTTATGAATGAGACTATACAGCTCATGGATGTACTTGATGAGATACCTGATAAGTAAGTCGACAAATCGTACAGACTATTGGATTATTAGCTGAAATGGTTGTTAACTAGGAGTTTAATTATACAAATTCAAATTATAGAAATGATTCTTATAAATTTTATTTACTGTACATTAAAAAGTATTTTTAACTTATATTTAATTGATTAAGTATAAGTTACTTATTGCGTTATAGTTTGTTATAAATATTTTATAAATGTTCTTTTTATGTTATCATAGAGCCTCATGCCTAATTAAGTCAGAGCGTTTTGGTAACCTCGTAGAATTAGCCACAAAGAGTCATGAATTACCGCAAGTAGCCAAACGTGGTCTAATGCGGACGATCGTTCATGTCGGTGCCGTATTAAATGATACAGATCAGCTGCAGCAATATTTTTTGCAGATACTACAACCTTTACAGAATCGTTTCAAAAACATCATTTGTAATACGGATTTTCCAAGGAATTATCATCAAGAAGAAATACGTGCTCAGATCATCGAAATTCTCGAGTGCATCGTTGGTAAGACAGTCGATAGTCCCATAAATAATTATTAATTTTACTTTTGTTATTTTACTGATCTTAATGAAATAATTTAGAACTTAAATATTATTGCACATACCAGTGTTAATTCTTGTATGACCAAGATAAAAAATATAATAAACAAACAAATTTATTTCTAGGTGCAGTTCAAGGAGTTATGAACGATACTGCAAAGCTCACTTCCCAGTATATATGCACGATACTTCAGGAACTTCCACGATTAATCACACTTTACCACAACTATCAGCAGATTGTTCAGTTAATACTCGAACTCTTCTGCGAATTCTCGAACAGTGTTTTAACCTATCTCCAGAACAGCGAAAATATTTTTGAAATCTACTTACACATGATGCAGGTGACTTAATATTATTATGCCGATAGACAATTTTGCTTCATTGTATTTAAAAGAGTTTATCAAATAAATGCACTCTATACAATTCCTATATTTAAATTAAGTAATGCACATTCACTTGAATTAACATATGAAATAATTAAATATTTTTAAATTAATTAATGTACCACAGTTTTATTAAGAGATCGAATATTACAAGTTTTATTATATTATACATAGTATAATATTACAATTATAATTATATTATATAATTATAGATATTAAATTTAAATATATTAAAATATAAGATTGTATAATAAGTAGTCACACGCTAAAAGTATTTTCTTAGTGTACTCGCCTATATTTACAGTTTTAATGAAATACAATTAAATAATAATTATTCATATATTTCATGAATAAGAAAAGAAAAGAAATTTCATAATGAATTTCAATTTTTATTTTTAAATTTTTCGATCAAATATAATCTAGTAATACAAAGTCTTTATATATATAATTGTTATTGTAAAAAAAATATATAATAATGAATGATAGGAATAATAAATAATACAATGTAATTTAAAAAATTTTTCCATTATTAATGAAAAATTGAATTGACAAATGAAACAGTTAATTATAAGAATATGAAAAAGAATTCAAACGTAAACATTCAGCATATTTATTTTAATGCAAATCATTTTGCTTTTCACACATTTTGTATTCAAAATATATTAGTAATGTAGGGCATAAAAAAACATTGAAATATTACATACATAAAAAATTGTGTGTTAATGTAATAATTATTAAGTTTAATATTAATAAAACTAATACTAAATAAGTTTTAGTAGGCATAAATTTTATTATTTATTGTAAAATTTAAGTAATTACGTTGATAGTTCGTAATTATAAATTTCATTTCTTTCACTTCTAAATTTATGTTATGCATACTTAAATTCATTAAGTATCGATTAAATTAAGTATTAATAACAATAATAGATAATAATTGTAATATTAAAAAAAATCAATAAGTTTGAATTTGTATTCTAACTTGAATAAGTATGTAACTGTAAGATATAGGCACCAATTTAAAGTGTAAAGAAAACCATCTTTAATTCGTAGTCCTATGCAAACTGTAATCGTCATTGGTTGACCACTGATTCTACATCCGAGGAAGATACCTTTCAGGATATTTTATTACTCATGCAGTTACTCACAAATTTGGTAACCAGGGATTTTGTTAATCACGTTGAATCGTCGGATGCTAGTTCAAGCCAAGAAGTAACACCAAACGTCTTTCTTTATGGATTAAATATTATCATGCCTATGATGACGATAGATTTACTTAAGTTTCCTTCTCTTTGTCTTCAGTAAGTTTTTTTTTAAATTATTAATTAAAAAATGTTTATTTTGTGAAATATTAGAAAAATATATAATACGAAAAACTTTCTTTTCATATTTACTTTAATATTTTTCAAATAATAGATGTATTTTATTAAAATGAATAATATAACAATAATGATAGATTTGAATTAAAATTAAAAATCCTAAATATTATAAATCATATTAGACAATTTCCAATAAAAAAATTTTAATTTACGATTTTATAGAGTACAAATTTATAATTTATAAAGAAATTTGAAAATTAAATGTATAAAATATAGCAGTTTAAATATGTAAAATAATTAAAAAATTAAAATATTTAATCTTACAGATATTTTAGAATGATTACATTTGCCTGTGAAATTTATCCGGAAAAAGTTTGTACCTTAAATGCTGAAGTTTTACAACATTTATTGGTATCGGTAGAGTTAGGATTGTTTTCATTTGGTGATGAAATAACTATACACTGTTGTAATACAATTCAAGCACTGGCTAAACATATTTATACAGAGGTTGAAATGGGTCGACCAAGAAATCAGGCTATGGCTCCATTTATAAATGTAAGTATAATTATAAAAAGATTAAAAATAATTCATAATCATCACTAATCTTAAAATTGTATTAATAATGTTTTATAAAGATATAAAGTTTTGCTTTTATTTAAATGTAAATAATATGGAAATTTATATGGAAATAATAACATTTTGATAATTTAATTTGATTATTACATAATTTAATAAATGATTAAAATAAAGTGTTTACATAGTTCATCTTTTAATATGTAATACTTTGTTTTTTAATAAAAATATACATTTTAATACTAATGTAATTTTTTATAATGAAATAAAATTAACTGGCATAAGTATATTTTGAAAATTAAATACTGAAATTAAATAAGAAATTATTAAGTAATTATTAAGTAAGTTAGTATTATTTTTTGTAACGTAAGATCTGAAATCAGAAATTTTTAAAATATATTTAATAAAAATTCGAAAAAAAATTAAATAATTTTAAGTAATAATCGATAATATCAACAAGCAATTATAAACAATTATATGAAATTAATAATCACTATAATTATTAAAATATTATTATAAAAAATGTTAAATATTTTCGGTACATTATTTGTTGCTTTATTATAGTACCATAATTTGTTATATTTTTTATTATAACTAATCAAATATGAAAGTTTTAATAATCATAACAACAAGAAATTTTACCCTACTTTTATTTTCAGCTACTGATGAACCTCATAATTACGCATCAGATAAACTCCGACCTCTTTTCCAACACTAGCATACCGCTTTACTATCTGATTTGTTGTTATCAAGATCAGTATCAACAACTCGTGCAGAATCTGATAGGCGAGCAGGCGGATCCGGCGGTTGCCCAGAGGCTTGCTGCCGCTTTCAACGAACTGACCGCTAATGTCGCCTTTAACACCGAGCGTGTGCACAGGCTCAGGTTCCGCGATAACTTCGACAAATTCATAATCAATGTCCAAGGCTTCCTCATGGTTAAATAAGACGATTTTTAAAGGCTACCAACCCTTTGTGGAAAAATTTGATCAATCTATTTTTTGGTCTTTATCACTGCTGATCGGTTCTGAAAAATTGAATTTTAAAATGATTTCATCATGATTAATATATTCAAATTTTGTCCTTAATCTGGTCAATATATATATCAAATTGCAAGACATGTACTTGTAACTACTTATAAAAGAAATCGAAACTGATAAGCTATTTTTCTATAAACAAGTTTACAAAATACTAAATAGTATCGATAATATAAGATTGGTGAATAATAAGTTTGTTATATACAAATTAAACAATATCAATTTTATATTGATTGTTTTTTAATTATATCTTATTCCTATAAAACATAAATTCATAATTTTCTGATTTTATATGAATTACCTTTAGTAAATGTTGTTATATGTTTGGTAATTAAAATCAAAATTGAAAAAGTACCTTACATATAAATTATTGGTTATGAGCTATTTAGTATAATTATAGAAGTATTTAATACTTTATAAAAATTCATTTTATTCTATCACTTTTATAAATTGTTAAATACATTAAAAATAATATGAAATACGGATGATACTTATTTAAATTAATCATTGATAATTATTATTATAATTGATAATAACTATAGTAACTGAATCGGATTTTAAAATTTCAATATTGGAAACGTATAGCAAAGACTCTTTTGAAAATTATCAACTTTTTCAAAGTTTATTATGTTTTATTTCATATATTATACATTAAATTTTTCCACAAAGAGGATTTAGTGTTCCTTTTCTTTCGTATAAAGGAGGGAGTGAATTCGTGATATTAATAAACCACTATTTGGGTTTTTGTATGTATGGGGTGTTTCTGAAGGATGAAAGCGTGTATTGTTCTACAAAAATCGTTTAAATGGCATTTCATATTTTTAAAATCAAGAAGTTAAAGCAGTATGATATAGCTTCATATGTCTTTATGCTTCATTTAATTAAACAGAGCTTTTCTTTTAATTAAGTTTTTACAGATATTTTAAATGTTTTTTAATAAAAATTTTTAATGAATTTTATTTCTAAATGAAAAATAGATTGTTACATGCGTTACAGAATTACATAAATCCAATGAAAGATTAGCTTAATGAAAATGTACTTGGACTATATTTTACATTACTTTCTTGATCTTTTCTCAAAACATAGTTCATAGAGTAAAAGTATAGATATAAAAAATAGTCTCCATAGTGTATATATTCTACCTTAATCACTGAATGATAAAAAATTGAATATTTAGGCAAAAATAAGTACTTGAAAATCTTAGAATAATTAAACTTTAAATATACTAAAATATATATTGTAATTTATAATATTAGGTGAGCTGAATATAAAATCAACTGTTTATGATAAAATATAAATTCAAACGTTTTTTTCATCGTTATAATTATTTATTATTCAAACAATAAAATAATTCATTAACGAAAGTATATGGTAAAGCCAGAATTTTACAATATTTAAAATATGATTAAAGTTTTGTCTGTATGACAATTAAAATTTACATAATTTCTTAAAATATTACATATCCTATTTCTCAGAGTCTTTAATGTGATTTTATATAGTAAATTAGTATAAATAATTTATTAAATTATAGAGGTTACATATGCTCATAATATTATGTATCACTTGCTGCTAATTACATCTTAATATGAATTCCTGTGTTAATTATTGAAGTTAAGTAGCTTAGATTTACGTTTATAGCTTCACTATAATTATATTCAGATTTTATATTATCACAACTTGTAAGCCGTGTGTATATATATATATATATACATATATATATATATATATATATATATATATATATTAAAATAAGCGATAATATTAGATAGAAACTTTTATCTATATCGTGTCACATTATAAAATTATATTTTTTCTGTCAATTAACATATGGACCTTATCATCCTATTATGGTATAAAATGTGGTTAATATTTCTTTCATGATCAGAAGACGAAATTAAAGCAAAAAAGATATAAATGACTGTGTATATACTTTGATAGAAATGAAAATAATAAGATATTCAGCTTTATTATCTTTTACACGTATTGAGGTACAGTTTATGAATAAATGGAAAATTAATTATAGTAAACGTTTACCGTATCGAATTTACATAGAATAAGGAAGTTTAGTATATAAATAATACTAATATAAATAAAGACACTCAGCCTTAAAATGGAATTTTATATATATCAGATAATATGATTTATAATGCCATTGGATTTGATAGCCAAATAACTTTAGCATTTGCAAAAGCAAGTGGATGAATTCTCTCGTATATAGTGTATAAATACCCTCAACCTTTATTATCAAAATTTACTTAAACTGAAGTACCATACACTTGGTTAAAATGATTTCTTGGTCAGAAATAATCAATTAAAGGAAAATTAATAAAGAATAGAGCAATGTACCACTAATGCCATTATCCACATATTTGATAGAAACATAACAGGACAGTTAATTGACGGACTCAATAAAATTTAACTATCTGGTATTAAGATATGCATGTCCAAATGATACTCCTTAGTTTTACCAAATATTATTTACATAATGTTGTGATGTAAATAGCGTCAACAATTTGGATGAGTAATCGCTTTAATTAAGAGAGCGATAATATACAACAATTGATTAACAAAGAGTTAAATAAGAAGCTTTTTTGAACAATACCTCTTTTCACAAAAGGATTTTATAATCTAAAGTATATTTTTCTTACAATCCATAATAAAAGGTACAAAAACAGTATACATAATTATAATATAAGATTAACTGCAAAAATCAATAGGTAATATAAAACTTTATATATGCAATGTGAATTAAATATAACAATAAAAAATTATTAAAATAAATTATTATTTATTAACAGTAATGCATAATTTATATAACAACTTTTTAAATAGATTATTTTATTAATCATATTTACATTATCTTGAATTTAACAATATGCATTTTTTAAATTTTAAAGTTAATTGAGTTTTTTCAGTAGATCTAGTTTTGGTGGGAGTAAATTATTGCTTCTTTACTAAATCTCTGTTACTTGTTTATCGTTACATCTACGTTCATAAATAAAAAATTAATAGTTTAATGAATTTTTTGTTTATAAATCGTGAAACAAAATCATTTCAATTATAAATTTACCTCAAAATATAAATAAAATTAATGTTATTGAATAAGTTTAATATTTTACAGAAAACATAATCAAATATAAAGTATATATAAAATATTGTAACACAATTTGTTACATAAAATAATATAATCATTAATAGTATTGAATTTTTTTCCAAATATATTAAAAATAATTAAATCAAAACGTTGGTTACTAGTCAATTGTTATTATTAAATTAAAAATTTTAATTGATAACTATGGTTTTCAAATTTCAAAACATTTTATCTTGTTATTAAAAATATAATTAAGTAATTGATTATTAAGAAATTAATAATTAAATATTAAAACATCTAAAAAAAATTAGACCAATCACATTAATTATATAATAATATTATTTCAAATATGAATAAATAAAGTTATAAAAATGTGAACAATGATTTAAAGAGACTGTCAATACACTTTTGATAAATATCTTTAATACTTCTTAGTCAATAGTATTGTTTAATATTATTATTAGCTTCAGCTTAATATTTATATTATATTTTGACAAATATGAGAGTGACAATTTCACTTTGTTATTAACTTTATTTATAATTAAATACTAAGAACATCTTTTGAATATTTAATAAATAAGGACACATTTACATTTGGAATCACAACATTTCAACATACATATTTTGTAAGGATATTATGAAATGAAATATTAAAGAATTATTTATATTTCTGCTTTTTAAAAAATGAAACCTCATTTATTTCTTTGTCAACGAATTCACTCTCTGCTTTGTGTGTCCGCCTATTAATCGAATGCGGCAAACTGATTTTTTGTTATCTACATAAAATGTAAATCGTATATTTATAAAATAAGAAAGAAAAATGTAAAACATGCAGCACGAAAAAATGTTTGTATATATCGACTAGTCAAACCTGTGATCTTCGAAGAAAATGCGAGAGAAACTTTTGAATATCATCTTTTTAATGCACAACTTAAACGTTATAATGTTCACTCTTGTTGGACTCTTTTGATAATGCTTTTTCTCTTTTATCTAGATTTTTTTGACGTTTTCAAATATCTTTTAATATCTTTTAATTCTTTGAAATAGTTTATGGTTCAGATATAGTATTGATTTTAAAAAACTGCTGTACCAATTGTTTCTTATCCAATATTTAAATTAAAATTTGTTTTCTTTTATTATGTATATTTATTCTAAAATACTGTATTAAAACAGAGAAGAAAATTTACATAAAATATTTTTTTTATTGATTATAAACAGGTAATTAAATAACATTAAATTTACATTTATAGGTGCTTGTGTGCTATTTTTGTAGCTCATAGTTAATATGAAAAGTGACTTTAATGAATTGCACGTCTTATTATCACAGAATGGCTAGCTATTAACATTTTTTTACTTTATAAAGCATAAGCTAATTATGATAGATAATTGAACCCGTACATATGTTCGAAAAAGTTTCTTTCATAATGTACATATTTTATAACACCGTAAAATTATTATAATTTATAAATTTTCAAAGATTACTGATAGAAATAAGTATGGAAATGTGTCTTAGAATTTGTTTGCATGAATAATACTTAATATAACGATTTGCCTCATATTTATATTTAGATGGTTCATATTAATAATCAATGGATATTGAACATAAAATGGATAGAGTTCTTTGTCGTAAGATACAAAATAAATACTATAAATAAAAGCAAATAGAATGAAAATTCTATCCGCCTGTATATAAATACGTATATAAAATCTATGAACAGTAAAAAATGAGAACCGTACAACTATTTTCTTAAAGATATATGATGTTCATTTGACAAATTGTATACAAATTTACGAATGGAAAGATACGATGACACTTAAAAAAATAATAAGAATCTAATTATTTCCTAAAAAAAAAACGAACGAACATCTTCAAATAAAGAGATAGTACCA